CTGTAAGTCCAAGTAATGAGCTTGTCAGTTTGAGCCAAAAAGTGAATCGATTGTCCTCAAGTGCAAATCATTGAAATTTTCTCAAAGATTTTACATTCTCTCAAGGGCGTCTATTTATGTCGCATCGAGCGGGCATAAAACGGCTCTATATAGCCTCGGGTGACGTGAAGTGTACAATCGCTACATCTTAAAGAGTGAACGTTTTAAAATATGTTTTTACACCTAAGTGTCATCGAAAGTTAATCGTAAGAAATCCGAAGATACAGTTGTGATATAGTGCCGATGAGTTATTTCAACTGTTTTAGGCTATATAAGTAGGCTGGTAATGACACCGTGGGCGAATGGTCTGCGGTTTTTTACCGATGAAAATTTGCCAAGTACAATTTCATAAAAAAACAAATTTAGAAAGATTAAACAGAGTTCTGTTTCCGCTCATATATATATATGCCAAATGAATTGATTAATTGCAGTACTGACAGGCATAGATCACTGCCGTGGTCTGATGTCGAAATTCGGGCAATCTTTCAATCAAGGAATGCGATTAGTATATGCAGTCAAATTTGACATATTTTCCAATTTACAGAACCAGCAGCTGCTTTCTTTCCCTTGCATGAACCGGATATTAAATTTGGTACAATTACGCGATTTCTCAACTCGTCCAAACACTTCATTCAGTTATCCAGAGTCGATAGAATCGTAAGAAGAGCATCTGATAAGAGAAAACGAAAATATGTTATTGAAACAAAACATGACACAACAAAACACGACAATATTGATAGAACAAAAATCCGTAATGATGCTCAGGTTTTGAAAATCAGAAACAACAACACAAACTTTGCACTTGAACATTGTTGCCTCGCCTGACATGATTCCGAAAAACCATAAGATTTCAAAACCCTATCGGTAACTTTCTCTAATGATATCAAAAATTATATTCATTACGGTGTTAGAACTCCAATCGCATGGCTTACGAGCCACTTTCACGATCTACCCTGTTCGTAACTGCGAGCGAACAAAAACAATGAGGACTGACAACTTTCATTGCCTCAGAAAAATTCACCATAAAAAGTAAGATCACTTTCGCCTTTTTTTTTGGTTCGATAGAAGATATCAGCTTTATTACGATAGAATTTAAAGAACAAACCAAACATGCTTTCCAAATTTCAAACACATGAACTGTCTATACGAAACTGCGTCATTTCAAAAGCAGGCGTTCGAAATTTCAAACATCTTAACAAGCAGAATTAGGAAAAAGATTGCGCGATTATTTAGCCCGCACACACATCATTAAGCCACCTTTGAGATGCAAATCTTTTGCGTTCAGCTCAGATTATACAGGTAATTTTACAAGCAATATTTCGACTCCTTCGCACGGGATTATCTTTGGATCGTATAGCTAAATGGTTGTGAAGACGATAAGAGACCATACAGAGCTACAAATCCCTTTATAATACAGTTAATGAGCATGTTGTGACGCTTTTATCAATTTTCATTTAATGAGTAGATGACATAGCTCATAATAAAGTAAAAACACCCACGAGAAAAGGAATTTCAACATCGTACAAATGGCCAGGTAACACACGAAATCCCAGGACTTTCAGTTTTCCAAACTGGACCCTTTTTTCAGTAGTTGTACGATATATAAGCATACACGCATAGAATCTCGGGCACAAAAAGGATTTTAATTTTGCACCATGAAAGGTCTTTATTTTTGGTATCAATTGCGGAGAGCAATTTCCTAAAGGGAACACTTATAGTTGGTGAGGTCACGCCAACGCTGGCTCATATGCTCCTAAACGACTCACTCTAGAGATGTGTAAAAACGACTTTCTTTTAGACTGCATTAAAGAACAAGTGATGTTGAAGAAGCATGTAGCGTGGATGAAGACTACGTAGAAAATTTTGAGTGGCAAAACGTGTATCATCCCCGCCTGGGAGGGAGGTATACTGCTAAGAATGGTACATATAGGAGAGATGGGGGAGGAGGGGGAGCGTACGCTTTAAAGAATAGCTAAAATGGGACGGGTGGGAGAGGAGGGGGAGCGTACTGAAAACTCGTGGTTTCTCACGAATCCAAAGACGAATTTATCCACAAGAAATATTCTTGCGTTGCAAACGTAAATATTTACCATGGGAACATAGTAGCACAGTGGGCCATCTTACGTATCTCATAATTTTATGAAGTTACAAAATGATTGCTCAGTAGAAAGTATGAAGTGCGATGCTACACGGTACAAAGATTGAGCTGATTCCACAAGCCACAACCATCTGTACTACTTTGTCCCTTCTGATAAGATAACACACAAAACACACGCGAAAGCTAAATATAAACTAGGAGCTCCACACGAGCCTTATATTCGACACACGGTTATAAGGAAACAACGACATAGCGAATGTCGTGTTTGTGTACGAAACAACTCTCGAGGAAAAATTAGACCGGCTGCTAAAAGCAGTAGCTGGTCGTTGCTCGATTGCATTCGTACAAATTGTCAAACAATTTAGTGATTGAAAGAAGACAGAGTGAGTAATTAACGAAGGGAATGTCGCAATCAGATTCCATAAACGCAGGTCTCAATATAGAATTACCAGCAGCTTTCTATGTCACGAAACTGTCAAAAAAGACAACGTAACCATTTACTAACGCCAACTTATATATAGCAGTATTTAACTATTCAGTGACAGTTTACATGTCAGTTACTTGGTTAGTTGTGTTAAGAAATACTCGTCGTTCGTTTCCTGTTAACATGGCCTGTTCTATTAAACACACCAAGAACCCGTTTTCTTTTAACTAGTCTACCTAATAGGACAAGCTAATCATTATAGGCAATGGCGTAAAGCAACTTCGCTTCGTTATGTTAAGTTAAAACAGCGAATGGGTTTCAAAAAGAAGGCTGGCTACGCCGTTGTAACCCACCACACTCCCCTACTTAACTCATGACTGTAATTCCGATTCATAAAATACAGAGTTAAGACTCATTTCCGCTCCTTCGCTTTCCTTTTTGCGTAGTCAAAATACACTACAACAATCCCATGCATACCAAAGACAAAACATTTTTTAACCCTGTATAACTAGGATCTTGGTTTTCGATTTCTAAAAAAATATAAAATTCCTTCCTCGAATCGCTTTTAAGGTAATTTTAAACGGACGTATATCTAAGAATGGGCTTTTGAATTTACGGTGGCTTAACATAAATCATGCATGCACTGGTTGAAAGCTTTCTCCGCATTCACACCAATTTTGGCCTTCCAACCTTTCCAAACGCACTTTCGTTGACAGAAACCGATGACAGCTTTGAAAAGCATAGTATCAACACAGAAGAGATATTAGATGAAAATTTGTGCAAGTATTTCAAAGCGCCTGAATGGAGGCTCAATTTAGCAAACAGCAAGAGCATATAAGACCACGAATCTACTCAACATGTTATGCGGTCATGATGTTTCGTGGACGTCTTCAAACTGAACGAATTTTGACCGTATTATTAAAATTGCAAGGACTTATCTACAGCGTTGAAGATTAGCAACAATCGCGCCTTACACATATTTTTAAACATGCTTAACACTAAACTTTTTCAGATGCTTTGTTTTGATAACTGAAATCGTTCGAACTTAATAACATTCGTTATCTACAGCAGTGTCTTGCAGAGTATGGAGATTAAAATGACTGGTGATTTAGAAAGGCAAAGTCATGACGTCATCTCGTCGTTTAATCGAAGCAAACAAGAGACGAAACAACGGGGATGGATATGCCGTAAAAACAACCGATTTTCAACCAAAACAAGGAAAATGCTGTAAAAGTATAGGCCCCGAGCAAAGCAACGCTGCGCTATAGTGATGTCGCCAGTCCACAAGCTTGGACCTGCGATGTAAATATTTAGGTGTTCGCTCGCTGTAAAAACAACACATTTCTAAAGAAATGAAAAGTCGATCTGAAACTAGCACGGCTGCCACGGCACGACGAAATTTGCGGGCAGGCAACGCAGCTGCGTATAAGCCAACCTCACTAATTAGGGCAGATTTAGTTGTCTGCAGATGTTGACAGAAATTAAAGTCAAAGCAAGTATCGTTCATAGTTACCCGCGAAAGAGGAATAATCGCCCACTTCAAAGCCTTCGTTTATTTGTTGCTCGATAAACTATGTGTTGTCAAGTTACAAATAAATATGTAACATTTCAAAGTTCACAAACTCTTGGCGAACAATGCAAATAGTTCAGCACGTGACATCCACGCTATGCAAATCCTTCTGTGACCACTCACTGAGCAGACAATAGATTAATAAAAAAAAAGGAATGGTAATCTACTAAGATTTCAACAGCACAATTAGCAGATGCAGGATAGCCACGCTACTGGTGACATTTCGATAAAGATTTGGTAGGAAATGACGATATGCAAAATGTAGATCGCAATGACGAAATGAACAACAGACGAGGAATGAACAACAGAGAACGAGAACTGTTATTTACACTACCTAAAAAATAAACTAAGATAACATGTGTCAATGTAGGTAGTAATGAATGAACAATTGAGAACGAGAACAGTCTTTACATTACTATCAATATAAACTAAGACAACGTGTGTCAGTGTAGGTAGTGATGAATGAACAATTGAGAGCGAGAACAATCTTTACACTACCTAAAATATAAACTAAGATAACGTGTGTTAGTGCAGGTAGTGGTGAATGAACAACAGAGAACGAGAACAGTCTTTACATTACCTAAAATATAAACTAAGATAACGTGTGTCAGTGTTGGTAGTGATGAATGAACAACAGAGAACGAGAACAGTCTTCACAGTACATAGAATATAAACTAAGATAACGTGTGTCAGTGAAGGTAGTGATGAATGAAGAACAGAGAACAAGAACAGTCTCTACACTATCTAAAATATAAACCATAAGAAAACGTGTGTCAATATAGGTAGTGATGAATGAACAACATCAAGCAAAATATACATTCCATCTGTAGTTAACTGGGTATAGGTACGAGATGAACAGCTCACGCATCTTTTTATGAGTAATAATTTATTGATCATTGCGCATGCGTGCAAAATTAATTACAAAATGAATGGTATCTATACAAATAAGCGAGCGATTTCGGCCTACTTTCAATGTAAAGAAGAAATCGCTGTTGTTCAAGAACCTATTTCTATCATATAATGATTGGGTGATTTCTAAAATTTCCGTTAGTTCTATTCTAAATTCTTCGCCTCCTTTTCTTGGTCACAAAACAATTCAATTTGCCGAGTCTGTTTTTCGCTCACTCGGGAGCGAATATATGTCCACCATTTCTTCGTTCACAGCGGCAGAAAATGACAAACATCGGTGGACGGTGGTGATTTCATGGCGTGCTTCACAATTGGAGTAGCATTTTTTTGACCAAACGTCTCAGTTTTCGAATTTTACCAAACTTCCTATACCTCTGAGCACCGGGAACATTCTTCTGTCAAGATGAAATATGCAATTCAGCACGAGAACTCTCAACAAAAATGTCCGTAAAAGACGGTGCAAAATATCCACACTGGCCACATGCATTAACGCCAACTTTTACAATTATATCAACAATCATGATCGCTCATGGACAAGAAATTTTCGAAAAGGTTAAAAATCACAAAGAGAACAATTTTAGGTAACAAGAGTGTTAATGTCATGTTTTTCATACACAGTGCAGCTTTAAATCAGTATGAACGTCAGCTAAATGATATTTTACAAACATATATCTCACCTTTTTACTCAAGCATCGGAATCGGAATCTTACAGTACACGAATCTGCGTTAGACAATCCTGCTTTGCTTGCTTTGTTCATTTTGGAGCTTCTCTTCACAATCCGATGACCGATTTCTCGACTACAATACACTTGCTCGTCACAAAACATTGCAATGAGAGTGAATATCATCACAAAAGCGAGAAGGCTGTTGAACTTCATCTTCGAATCGCCAAACAATTCGATGTTTCTCCGTCGTCTGTTTGTTTGACGTTGCCTCAGAGTTTTCGAGCTGTGTCAACCGCTGGACTGTTGGTCGTGTTATGAACGAGAGTCGAAGAAACGCAGTCTTTTATACCGTTCGAAAAAGTGACAAAAAACAGTCACTTGTTTTCGCGCGGCCATACATGGAGCGCGACAAGTGATAAATACATTCCGAAAATAGATCAGCATTTCAAAAATACAAGCTTTTCGTCATCGTCGCAGCCACTCAAACAAATTGAAAATAAACACAAGAATTTGTCTCAAAGCTTTATTTAAAGTTCTCGCGATCGATGGCTATCTCGGAAAGCTGAATTAGTTTGACATAAAGCAGGCAAATGTGCCTCCATACCACCATTCCTCGATGCATATGAACGTGTACAAAGAATTAGCTGTCGTATTTTGCACAAATGTCAATTTAGGCAATGTAATTGCTAATCATTGCCATGAATTGCGAAAGGATTTGATGAACGATTTCAAAGCACATGCATGTTGAAAAACGTAACGTTAATGCATTTGTGTTAGTCAGTTTGTAATCTACGAAGGAATGCTATACATTTTCGCACACTAAAACCTGTGTTAAAAAAATCTTTCAGCTTGAATGTGATTAGGACGAAATGTCGCAAACTATGAATTCTGGTTTTGATGGATTTTCGAGCACATTCAATGGTGGCACAAAAACTTCTCGAAGTAATAAAAAAGTCGCCGATCAAGAATGCATCATAGTTTTGTAAACGAAGCTAGCGCACAGTCGTCATTTGTTTCGGTTTGAAGAAGAAACCGCAAAAGAGTTTCGTGTGATGAGGAACGAAACGTCTCAATTATTTCATTAATATATTAAACTAATCAGCTAATCGCAAAAAGAGAGATTTTCAAGCTTATCTCTATTATCGAATGCTCAAATTTGTACCTCACGAAGTAAGAAAAGACGAATATTTCAATTTCGCATCGGAATTGAATTCGCCAAACTTAGAAATCCCAGGCGGCTTTTAGAGAGAAAATTGCTTGGGCGCTACAACGATTACATTATTGAATCGGCATTTGACAAAGAAATAATTCGCAAGGACATTGAGACTGCGATGTCATATGATTTTAATTAAAAAACCGATATTCTAAATATGTTTTACTCGGAGTGATTTTTCGGTTATCTTTAGAAACAATTTACGTAAAAATGCAAAATTTTCGCAAACTTCGAACGCCTTTCATAATTTCACGTCCAGTTTAAAATAGCATTTAGTGATTTTTGAAAATTCACTCGACTTTTTCACGGTGCTCATACTCGATGAACGCCCTTATCGGAATGCAATTGTTACTTATGTGCCTTAAAGGCGAGGAAAGGGGAAACTGTAATTGTTATAATCTCGTCGTCATTTTTTTGCAAACAAGAATTTATTCGAACAACCCAGCTAATCCAAGCAGGATTTCCTCGCAAAGCGTGGGGTTTTGAGTAACGAATTCCAAAGAGCTGTAAGACAATGCCTGAACCGATTCACGAAGTTGTGAGGCTGTGGCCATGCGAACATCAAAACTTTGCACGAATCTACACATCGAAATTACGATCACAACTCGCGAAACAAATATGCAGGCATTTACAATGAAATGCTCAAACGCCAAATGTTAATTTTACGGTATAACAAAACGAATTGAAATTTGGCAAATGAAGGAAAGCAAAACGAGGAAAAAAAACTCTTAAAAGTATTTTATTCATCGCTCAGCTTTGCCAAAATGCACTTCTGAAGTTATCATATGCACCTAGCCAATAATTCAACAACACATAGTGTTGAGAACAGGCGATGTGATGATTCATTTGTTATTTAGATAAAACGTCCTATAAATTTCATAATCTGTATATCGTTTTAGAAATTCTTTTATCGCTCACAGTTCAAAGGCCACACGACTGCGCAGCAAAGACGACAAGAGATGATCGCGAATTCGATTGATTGAGAGATCGGGGAAAAAAACAGAAAAGAAGATTAACACGACGAACTGCGAAAAATGATAAGGAAAAATGAAAATCCAGCTTTCACGAACTCTTGCTAACACGGCTAACAAAAAACACATTTTTGCCTACCGGAACCACACACCTAGTACTTAAACATGTACATTCAATGGGTCGAAAACTCCTTCTCATTTACATAAAACGCGCAACATCGATTCAATACGACGATTTTTAGCAGGCTAGACATATTCTTTGTGGATCAGCCTTAAGCATGCGTAAGCCCCAAGAGGCAAACTCTACTAACATAAATCACATCTGTTATCGCACGAAAAAAACCGTGTCAGAAAACCTTATCGTCGCAAAAACGCGCCAAGTTCTGCAAATGAAATTACATTTTATCGGATGAGTAACCATGCACGTTGTTTGGGATTCCGGAAATCTGTAAATATACAAACATACGTATATATATAGTAATAAAAACAAGTTAAAACCATCATTGACAAATAGTCCGTGTTCAATACTCAGACAGATTTCCCAGGAAAATGCAAATTTCCTTCATATCTCTCGAAGACGACAGGCAGCTGGTCTTCTTGCGAACGACCGATGAAAAACAACTTGGCATTTTCGACAAAAACCCATATACAATATCATAAAAAAAAACAACAGGCAGTCCAATGCCCGGTCGTGGGCGTACACACGCGAGCTATATGGCTTTCAAGTACCGCAGTACATGCGCGAATAGGGGAAGGATGACGCATCTTTTCCAAATTCGATCTTTTTTCTCAAACGATAAACTGTAGTCAGCACGAAAGAGACACCAATGTATGTGCAATGCTGCCATCTCTGTACCAAGATATTTTAAATTTGACTTTGGCTGGTCCGGCTTCGCTTAATATCGGAGCAAATCTTGATGTCGGGCTACTTTATTCATAAATTTAGCCTTACGAAGGCAAGATGACATTTATGAAGCCTATATATATATATATATATATATTAGTGTTGAATTTGCCTTTAGCGGTTCCGGAATTCTGTCAGTATCACTGTAAATCTTGACATCGGACATCGTTATTCATTATAATTTGGCCTTGCCGAGGAAAAGTCTACATTTTATGCCTACAGTCTATTCAAATTAGTAATAAATTTGCCTTCCACTGTTCTGGAATACGGTGGATTTCACCGAGGCTGTATGTTCAAGTCCTTCGGCATAAATCATATTCATTAAATTAACCTTTCATTAATGTTGTCAACCTATGGCTATACCCTATTCTTAGTAGCACAAATCGTGCAAACATTATGGTAATACAACCATGATTAAATATCGAGTGGACGCCGTTAACATAGAGAATTTCGTGACATCTTAATAAGCCCTTGCAAAAGGGAAATTCCTAACTCGACCAATCGTTTTGTCTGGCATCAAGACTTGAAATGCATATATAAAGATGTAAAGACTGTAACAAAAAGTAAACGATTTCAAAACGCCACTGATGGTTAAATACTTGATTTAATTGGAGACTGTCATAGTTTGCGTTCATTACAATCAGTTTTTTACTTCAATGCATTCTGTGTGTCTCACATTAAGCAGATTTTATGCTTGAAAATTTTTCTCGTTAAAGTGAGCATGCCATGCTTAAGTGCTTATTTTAAAGCACCTACGGTTAATCCTCTGAAAAACGATAGTTCTTTAAATGGTACACTTTGGTTGGGTTGGGCATTAAAGAGGATTTAAAATAAGAAAAAAACTTAATATGGGTGATGTATTTCTTTCGCAAGAGCCAAGTTCGTCACGGAGTAACGGCCACCGGTTTTCAAAATAACTTATCGCCGCTTCGACGTGCTCAAAAACACAGCAAAAAAGCTCATTTCTTCCACCTACTCAACAGATAAGTTTACCTTAGAGTATGCGATGAGCTTTTAACGATGCAGAAGAATTTGCGTATGAACAGTGGGGGATACACCGAAACATGATTTCATGTCTTTTACAAGCTCCCACTCAAAACAGTTTTTGAAAAAAGTGCTAATGTTTGTGAATAACAAAGGTTTTCAAAGACAACAAAAGATTGTCTATAAGCAAACATCACGAAAAACAATACCATTTTCGGTCAACAACCCCCTGTACATATTAAATTTTGGTTATTTGGAAGAAAGCCTGTTTACTATCTCCGTTCATCCGTTCATCATCGCATTGCACACAAACGCGATAAATTTTGCATTAGAAGCAACGCAGCGAAAAGCGAGGACTGTTTTTCTTCTCGGCAGTTATCACAATGGCCCACATTGACGTAAGCTATTTTCGTTCATGTTCATTAAGTTTCGAAGTCATGCGAAGAACGTTTCGTTTTCTGTTGTTCCTTCATTCCTATCTACAAAAAACCTCTTCACATTAATTAAACTAGCTATATCAGGCGAGTGTTGAGACGATTCGGGTTTCCTGTTTTTCGCTCCAGCATGTTTGGCAATGACGCACGATAGGCACAACAAGGACCATGTTCTCTTGACACATATCTCATTCCTTCAGCAGAGCTGACATTTCCAGTTGCCGCGGAGAACCGATCGAAAGGCGTGCCAAGAAAGCACGCGTCCTAAAATAAACCTTATAAGCACAAAGGACGTGAAACGCGCGTAATGATATGAATCTTGGACGCTCTTTTCTGACAGTTTTATGAGACGATGCTAACGATGTGACAAGGTGAGCTTGATACAATCTGTCGCACGGAAGAGACGCTATCTTCATGGTATAATTTAATTACGAATTGCAGAGGCTCCATTACGGGTGGCTGAAGGGGACCGCTGTGCGTGCAAGCGTAGTTTAACGTTTTCAAAGGCAAATATACCAAAACTCGCTGTGCATGCTGATCTATAGACACTCTAAGCATTCGACAAATCCCAATTCGTTTATCTATTCCTAGGCGTGTTTTTATCGACACAAAAACACACAGCATTAGAGAGATTCGAATGATGATAGGCATGGCAGCCATGCTGAAGTACAGTTAAGCCCACAATCAGCTTTATTAAGCTAAGTTGAGAGAGAATTCAGTCTATATCTGGTCCATTTTTTAGTGCATAAAAAAATAGCTTTATCAATTTCAACCAGCGATGGGTACATCGTTACTATATATGAGCTCAAACACGGCTAAGCCAGCATTCCAAGCATTTGACCTTAGTTGATACACAAAACAGTCCGTATCTTTCCTACTGTCTATTCCTTAGCCTATCTTTATAGGTACGTATACATTCGCAGCTGTCCCTGCTCAAAACATTTGCCCATAGTCAACATATTTGTAATAAATTTATAGCTGGTTAATTTTGTACTGCAGCAAAAACATACTTCTAACTGTTGTTGCAAAATGGTATACGCATGGTAGATATTGTAAAACAAAATTCGAACCACGATCAGTGTAATTTAGCTTCCAGGCATGAAAAAGATCGCTTAGCCAATTTTCTCCCTATTTTTCCTCCGGTAATGTTGTCTGCTATGGAACATAACAGAGCCTGGGTCCAAGTGCGCAAGATAAACACTTAGCACAAAAATGACGTAAAGAGAAACTGACAATTAAAGTCAAAACATACCAGTTGTGAAAATCATCACTGTTGACCAGCAAGAATATTTCTTTCCTGTTCCTCGTCGACGGAGCCATAGAGGTTCCCACTAACAACGTTCGATTCTTCCTCGCCATTTGTTGGATCCAGTCGAGAAGGAGTTGGAAAGATTTTGAAGATTACAACACCCGAAACGATAGTAACGAAGGATATAATGTACAGATACGAAAACTAGAAGGAAATTATAGAGAAGATTTCGTACGACCATACAAATCGTATGTGGTATTCATTTTTATGTAAATATTTTCTTGAGTTTTTATGCAAAGATTTTTAAGGAGATTCTATATGATTATTTTTGATGGAGTTTTAAACTTTTCACGCAAAGGTTTTCACGCAATTTCTATGCAAAGACTTTCACGTAGTTTTTAAAAGACGATTTTCATGCAGTTTTTATGCGGAAACTTTCACGAACTTTTTATGTAAACATTTTCATGCAGTCTTCATGTGAAGATTTAATGAAGTTTTTGTAAGACGTTTTTCATCAACCTTCTATTTTCCACGTTCTCAATGCCCAGTAAACCTATATTCAAAACTTAAAATTTCTTCAAGCCGCGACGAAGTTTTCATATTGTCACTCCCAGTCCCCTTCGCGCGGGTATTAAATTCACGTACAGCCTTCAACATATGATAGCCGACCACTCGGTCATGTTCATGATATGAAGTTACTATCACACAACAAAATCGGTCGTTATAACTACTAGTCGTCACTACTTACCGTGTATCCAAATAGATATAAGCCAGCAAACAAAGAATACAAGTCAGCGGTAAGCAACATGAGATTAACCAATGTCGCGCTGGTGTAGCGGATCAATACTGGCATGAGAATGTAGAATGCAAACATCGCAAAAGCACTCAGAGCAAGGTAGAAAACTATATCGGAAACAATGAAATTGAATCAGAAGATGGAAAGATCACAAACGAGGCTGGAAAGAGCCGATGTACATTTCAATTAACGCTTTCCAAAACAAAATAGCTTCCCACAATCTAAACTAGTACAATCCTCATATATTTTATATATTTTTGTATTGTAGTAGTGATAACAGTAGGATTTATATGATATTACGTCATTATTTTACACACAGTTAGCTATCTTTTGTAATTTTTCTTACACTCAAACCCCTCGCGGAAAGCTACTACAGCTGATGTTGCAAGCGTGTTAAAACAAAGTTCTATTCTATTCTGCTCAATTCTATTCCATTCCAACCCATAGCATGAAAATGTATGCGGTCAGCGGTTTGCTTGTCGTACGCAGGCTAAAGGCAGAATAATAAAATACAGAAGATAATCTATAAGCGCAAGATATAGAGGCAATTTTCCCATTGATTTTTGTGAATGACCGAAGATTATCTATGGAATGAGAATGAATTGCTTATTGGAGCGATTCTACGGTCACGTGATGTGATGATCCACTTTATTTAGACACATTATTCTTCCTGTGTTAGCTAACTTACAAAGATAAAACTGATTTCTAAAAACATTAAGTTGATGTACTAGAAGAAACAAAAAAGCAGTTCACTACTACACAAATGCTGTTATATGTTCGCTACTAACTTACAACACTAAACTATACTATACACGAGTTACTAGTGACTCTAAGAATCGATAATAAATAAGGCCTTATATAGGACATTGTCTCCATGACTTTATCTGAAAACACATGCTGCTATAGTTTTTTCGTCTCTTTAATTCCCCGAGATACGAAGGCAAATGTGCCCGGTCATCTGCGTGTGTGATCCTGGAAAATGGATGTTCGCCGAGTCTTTTTAACAAGTGCCACGCTCTGCGAGCTTTAACATGGCAAATGAATGAAAAACAATAAAAATACAAAGTCCAATAATCCCAGTTTAAAATGAAATAGACATACCAACATGCTATATAACAAATGCACGATTTCATGATTTTCTACGGAAAAATGACGAAATTATCGAGTTTGATGCCAAACAGTTCCACGGTAGATGAATTACAATAAGTGCTACATGAACGAATCTCGGCTAGTCCGTAGAAGGCAAATTGCAATTTCCCTTTTTTCAAACGATAATCTGGGCAATGTTTCAACAGTTCCACACGAAGAAGGTTAACAACAAATAATGTTGCTGAATAGTGAACGAAACTGATGACACTACTTTTTAATTCCAACTGAGATTCGTTCATTTAGAATTTCCAGCAAGATATATCGGAGGCGGAGGAGGGGTGATGTTTCTCTTTGTGTGGTGTATATTTCAGAGAAAACAGCATTATGAAGACAACATAATAGAAGACACCGGAAGGCAAGCATAAAATGAAAAAAAATTATCTTACTTGTTTCTTTATTCCATTCAGCACTAGATAGATCATCCCATTCGAAGATCATTCTAAATAGACAAATACGATGAGGTTCGAGGCTCCTAGCCTAGGCAAAAGGGGATACAAAAGTAGTGCCAATCTCCATACCAAAATACTAATATATTTAACAATTAAGCAAAAGCAATTGTGGTTGGTGTTTAATCGAACACACTTCAATAAATCATAACGAAAAATATTAACATACTATGACCATGATCTAATCCAAACTAAAGCACCCCTCCTACAACAGTGGTGGACCCAGCAAGGATTTTTTAGCACGCTTGGCTTAGTGATCAGCAAAGTTCATCGTTTGGAAACCATGCAATTATTAACAAACTTACTTATTATTCAAAGTGGATAGTAGTTCCCGTTTTTTCTCAAAAAAATAAACATTATTGACTCCTTTTATTAAAAATATCATTGACAGTAAAAAACTTGAATGATATACTCCATAGAAGTAGGATGGACATTATTTTTACTTTGTGCAATTTTCACCTCTCTATGCCCCCCTGTTGACCCTTGCCTACAGAGCTGAGCAGCCTGGTGCAATGAAATGTACAGTATGCGATTGTGTCACAAACATGTTTCGTGAGACGCTCTTTTTCGCTTTGGAAGCAAAGTGTTCATAAGTCGATCTTCCATGTATATAGTTCAATAAAGCAGGGAAAAGTGCGCATTTTATGTGATTTTCGTGAAGACTTTCTTCGAGTTTTAGTCGGAAGATTTTCATGGACTTTCTGTAAGATTTTTATGGAGTTTCTATGTCAAGTATTCACGGAATTCTTATGTGTAGATTTTCACGGGTGTTTTAATGCAAACTCCTTTTAGCTGTAAAAGATTTTCATGCAATCGTAGATTGATCGTAGAAGTCTATAGGTCACGAAAGCCTTAAGTAGAGTGCATTTTTTACATATTGTAAATTCAAGTCTGCCACGGAAGTACAATCTGGTGCAAAACTGATTACGACAATTCACTATAGTTTCAAAAATTCCGTTCAACGAGAACTTAATTCGTGATCCGATAGAATTAAGATAATTTGGTCGAGAGTTCACGGTTAGAACTTTCAACGAATAACAATCCTCTCGAGACTACGACTATCAATATCGCTCCAACTTACACGTTAGCACCGGAAATAAACGATGCAAAAAATGACAACATTCCGAGAAATTCGGTGATCGTCGACGTTTTCACGACAAATTCCTCGGCGATATTGCTGGCTGCGTAACAGCATGCGCCCGCGATCACGAGCAAGTCACCGAGCAGTTCACTGTGTCGATCACCTGAAAAGACAAGAAAAGAACTTGAATAACGAAATGACGGGAGCCCAAAGGAGAATGTAATGAATTTTAATTAATACATTCACCAGGTATGGGTAGTGCACTTCTCTTAGGAATAAATACGAGTGAGTCTGACCAATATTTCTATCTTCAGAGGTCATAACAATGTCAACTAATAACCACTATTATTCATCATAATGCATATGAGACAAGCATTTTCTGAAAACCATACTATTTTTGCATAAAATAGCAAACCATGACGATTCTTGAATATCGAAACAGTTAAAACTTAACGTTTCGATTCGTAGAAAATCATCGTCTAGAGTCGTGCCCTTCAGGAAAGTATATCTCAAATTCGGTACTTTTGGAAGAAAAAAATCCGGTTTCGGTTCTTTTTTGAAAAAGTCAGTTGGAAACCTAGCAACTAACTCAGCTATAGGCATGACTGCGAAACGCGATTAACTTGCACATTTCAACGCACGCCAACATATACTAGTATTGTATGCATTGATTTTCACCAATATGTGGTTCCACAATATAATGTGCTGATTGCTCTCTGGCACGAAGTGCACAATGCAATACTTTGTGTTTTTTTTTCCGTCATACCAATAAAATGTACGGAATCGCGAGCCGTTACACGGAAATATAAAACCGAGACTATTGGATCTTTGACGTAAAAAGTTTTCGGTGAATGAAAAAATACCTAAAGAACCGATTTTTTTCCGGTAAACAACACAGCTATATTACCGTCAAAAGAGATGAAAGGACTATTCTTCATGCGTGTCTGATTCAATAGAGACTTTTAGTTTATTGCTCACGGCGAACAACAAGCCTCAACTTTCCGCTTGAAGTTTAGGTTTGTCGTTTCAAAAAAAAACTTGAATTTAGCTTGACTTTTGCATTTCTATTTTACAATTCGCATTGTTGATCCAGGTTGAAAAATAAGCAACAACCGTTTCATTCCCACATGCCTTCGTATTATGATTATTTTCTAAAATATTTCCAACAACGTTTGCAAATGGCATTTGCTCGTTCCTATTGGGTGGATTCAGTCAGTGGTAGATTTATGGGGGACGGGGAGGGAGTGCACTGGAGTCGTCAGCCCAGGAGGCAAGGGTCTGCAGAGGTGCATAGAGGGGTGCAAAGTGCAAAAAATTAAAGTAAAAAGCTTTAACAGGAAAAGCTTTTATTTGTTATATTATTAAAGTTTTTATGACTGTCAATAATACTTATTTTCATTAAAAAGGCGTCAATCGTACATATTTTCTTGATGTATCGACTTTTAATAATGAGAAGGTTAATAAATAATTGGTTTCCAACCGCTGAACTTCGACTGATCACTAAGCCGAGCACACGGTGTCTCATTAAATGTTTTCACATCACCTGGCAGGCCGCAAAACATCCCTTTCATTGCTAAAGAGTTTTACGACACAAATGTTAGGTTGTTTTAAAATAAAATATTCCTCAAAACTATAACGGACTCTCTTCTTCGCATTGATGTTTGCATGCTTGGTTTGGGACGATATATTGAAGTCTTTGTGATACATAAACAAGGGAATGTTCCTTCGATCGTTTCCTAATGAAGACATCCGTTATCCGCATTGATTTTAGCCAAATAAACGCTTTATATCAGGTAAGTGATCACTTTGAATGACAATAAGATCGGTTCGATGAAAACCAAGCAAGTTCGTAGCGCAACAACGCAATAAAACATGATTCAAGATTAGGAAACGGCAGAACACAAATTCTCCAATTTACTAATCGCTAAAACTTTACTAATTTCGGAAGTAAGCATGTAAAGGTTGTGTTGAAAAGAAATTTCCCAACAATTATAGCAGATTTGTTTTAAGATAATAAAAAATTCCTTGTCCCGGGCACTTAAACGCTCATGCATTCATAGAAGTTGATCATACCTGGCTTCGGTCCTTCACCTCGAGATATGAAGTCGGCATAAACCAGGAGACCGATGCCAGCAAGACATACAAAGACACCGATAAAATGAACTATTCCATACTTGGCTTTCAGTACCACGATTGATAGAAGGACCACGACAGGTATGCTAAGGCAATCCAAAAGCTATAAAGTGTTAAAAAAGCATGAAGTCATGCAAAGAAGATGCCCAAGGCAATCCAAAAGCTATAAAGAGTTAAAAAATCATGAAGTCATGCAAAGAAGATGCCCAAGGCAATCTAAAAGCTATAAAGAGTTAAAAAAGCATGAAATCATAAAAAGAAGATGCCCAAGGCAATCCAAAAGCTATAAAGAGTTAAAAAAGCATGAAGTCATGCAAAGAAGATGCCCAAGGCAATCTAAAAGCTATAAAGAGTTAAAAAAGCATGAAATCATAAAAAGAAGATGCCCAAGGCAATCCAAAAGCTATAAAGAGTTAAAGAAGCATGAAGTCATGCAAACAAGATTTATTACTTGTTGCATTAGTTTCGTTTCTCTTCACATTGGTTAACCCTTTAATGCGCGTTGAGCACAATCAGGAGCGCACCCTCCTGGGGTGGGGGGAGGGGGGAGAGTGGGCTTAACGTTCTGGGACCGACTTAGTGCTTTTTTCTTATAGAGAGGCCCAAAATTTAGCCGAACGGACTTTGTTCGTCCTCTTTCAGTTTATGGACCAAATTTTTATTATATTTTGCAAAAGCTGGGGAGTTCACCTCTCCCCTACCGCGCTAATGTGCGCCCCTGTGAACGATGACAACTACAATAGAAACTGAATCAAACTGTTTGCAATAAAAAATAAAAAGTAAAAGAAAAAATTTAAAAAAAGTTGTCGTTTACGTTAAATGTACGTATCATTTCAATCGTGCTGCTACGAAATTATGAATTAAACTCATATGAAAAAAAGTGGCTCTCGCGACAAAGAGTTAACGTCATGTAAAACGCCATCTTCCGCGCTAAAACGAATGTTCGTCTGCACATTATCAAATATGTATTATATGAATTCGATTCTGTTTCGGGATCAAATAACGCAAATTAATGTACAATTCAAAACTGCTAAGTCCTATTTTACAACACATGCACTATGAAGATAAGCAAATAAATAAAACTTCAGCAATCCGATCGCATCATATAGCTACAAGCTTCGAAGGGACTGTTGCTCAATATTGTTAAATCCAACATAGACCAGACCCAAGACCAGAAAAGTAAACTTCTAACGGAAAATTCGAGGAAAAGTTAATAAACAGGCTTAACTGGACCACTTTTTTGGACTGACTGCAAATTTGCTTTTGACCAGGCGTGACGTATTTGTCGTATTTAATGATGGTATTTAGACATGCTAACGTGAAGGTTTTAATAAAATTTCCCTTATTTAATGGCAGAATTCGTAAAACAACAGTCACGGAGTAGAAAATTTATAGTTGGAACAACATTTTGCTGATTATATTTTCTATTGTGCAATAGTTATAAATCAGGCAGAGAAGGGGGTATCTTTTAAAGAGAGAATTTATCACACTAGATAGATTTGGTTAATGTCGGGGCGCTGATTTCAAAAATCGATGTTATTCAGAAAATTTCGGATGTCTTTAGCTTCGTCGTTAAGTTGTAAGCCTCGTTTTTACGAAAATCCTTGTTTTAGCTTTATTTCCAACAAACATACTCTTTCACGTTACGAGACGTTTAAATATGTAAATTCGTTCGGAGCTTTTTGCTGTCAATACCGTAAATGCTCCTATAAGCACTGCGGTGCCTATAAAATTTTCCATTATCTGAGTGCGCGGTTCTCTCAACTGGCAGTGGTGCACATCAGATAATTTTCCACAAAATTTTCACCAAAATATTTTTTGCCCAATGAAAACCTAACGGGTTGAAAAAAACCCAACACAATGTCAACGAATACAGTGGCCACTTTACAATAACCTTTATTTCAAACTTAACTTACAGAACACTCATATTATCGTCATCATCTACATCGCAATCTACACACCAGTACAAGAAGCATCTTCGAATAAAGCTATCAATTAGTTCATTGTGTCATGTATTAAAGTTTGCCAACTTAACGCTGTGTTAACCAAAGACAGTAAGCTTCAAGCATACAACTTCTGATTCCGCGCAGTACTAAAGTTGTCCAGGTGCGCTGCTTACCCGGGAGAGACGCTTAAACGGAAGCCGTGCATAAAAAGAAGCGGCGCTAAAACGAGCAGCCTCATAAATTAATATTACACGTGCCAATACAGGTAATAGCAAAATCTACTCATGTACTTACTCAGCTGAGGTTCTAGTCAGAAAGAAAGAGGTTTATCAAAGCAGCTGTTTGAAATTATCTTTCAGATGGATCAAAGACATGATCGTTAAAAGTAAAGGATATTAGAAGGATAGAGCCATTTGGGATATGGAACTGGAGAATGGAGAAAATTGACTTCATAGAGAGGAAAACTAATGAGGAAGTTCTGATAATGGTAGACGGAAAGAATTATTACTACGGCTACTGAACTGAAGATAAGCCCGAGTTTATAATAGACCTTATGCATAATGACGTCACATAGGCTTGAGCGCGCTAGGAATTCTGGTTTTTATAGTCAGGGTTGATAAAAAAAAACATGGCTATTTAAAAGTAGAGCAGCTATAAGTCGTCAATTTTTAAAGATTTTTCCGTCGTTAGAAGGCTCTAAATCTTTTAAAACTCATGTTTGTCTATTTGGAGGCTGAAAATTCATACGTCGGACCCACCTGAACACTGGTGAGACTTGTGTATTGATATGCCGTGTACACTAAGAAATTGGCATAGGCATCAATTACGGCAATGACAATGTATTTCCACCACCTTTCGATGAAAATTTTCTTTCCCACTTTCCAGTTGTAAAAAATTTGAGTCGTAAACACCATAGACAGAAGAACGTAGCTGCAAAATGCTTGAAATGCAGGGATCTTCACGCCGCACGCTATGACTAATTTTTGACCTGCAACTCCTGTGGCACATAACACCAATGATAAAAACTGACCCCAAAGCAGTATGCCTAAAAATTTCCTGAAAACATAGAAAAAGAAAATCGAGTCAATGCAAATACATTACATAGAATTCTAAAAAATCAAAGCTACTCCTTAACAAAATGAATGGCTTTCATCCCGGAGTATTGGGATTTGTTGGATAGCCAAAATATAATAAGGTTAGTTCTGAAAAAATCTAGTTACAGCAGAACATGAACCCAAGGATTCTAAAAGAACTGTTTCGAAGGTAAAAGACTTTGACACCTGAGGAGTAGTCTGCCAAAATGCATCGTGTTTTTTACCTTCAAAACAGTTCTTTTAAAACTATTGGGGTTAATGTTCTGTATGTAGACAGTTCTTTTCACAACTATTGCATGGTTAATTTGGCTACTCAACACGAATATTGTGATCTCTCAAAACAATTTTCAGATTTCTAACCACAACATAGTCTTTATTGTTTTTTTGTGCAATCCTGAGGAGAACTGTTGGTGTGGACTACATTGTTAGTGGTAGTCATATACCACACTGGGAGCACAATTTTGAGAAAACTAGGCTTCTACAAAGGCAAATTTCGGACATCAGGAGTGGAATTTACATACTTTCCAGTCTGGGTCATGTTCAGAGCAAAGTGGACTCAAGAGTGACATTGACATTGATGTCAAAATGCCTGTCAGTACTTTCACCAACAGTCCTTCTCGCAATTGCACTAAACAGGGGAATCTACATCCACAAACATGTAACAAAACCATTCCCAATACCATAACAACCTGTTTCTTTGAATAATAAAATCATAATACTTCATGTATCCATAGTTGAAGTTTAACATTACAAGATCAATATTTAGTTTTTGAAAATAAAAACAATATTATTAATAGTGGGCGGTGATTGGTATATAGATGTGTTTGCATTAGTCTGGGCAAAGCAGATCTGAGGTCAACCATTTAATTCAATCAATCAAACAGTCAAAAAGAATTTGCAAATAAAGTCTCAATACATTTATGAGGAAAATTAAATCTTTCTTTTAAATTGGTCTGTTTTGCATTAATGTCATTTTAAAACAAAAATAAAAGATGCTTTTTGTGTTTGCACTGGCTTATGCAAACCACAGAGACATTTGTACAAACTACCGAGTGAGTTAAAACTATCGAGCAAGTGCAAGCCACAGGTTAGCACTGATCTACTCTTGAGTTCTCTCAAAGGTCTCCTCAGTGAGCATGAGCCTGTGAAAACACAGTAAACATCTCTTACTTTATAATTGAAACATTAACAAAACATTTCGATAGGTCTCTTTAAGCACTTTCATATGTGGTTGACCATAAGAATTTAAACGGTGTATAGGTAACCTAAATACACAGGATATGGAAAGTCCTCATAATCTTTCATTGGCACTCAACACAGTCAAAGATAATACTTATCAAGTGATATATAGATGACTTGCCTTGTTTAACTGGCAGGCAGATTTATCCCAAAAGAGCTTGACCATTGCTGTTAATGTTGTTCAAAACCACTCGACATAATCTGCCTGCCAGCAAAATGTAAAAAAGGCAAGTCAGCTATAAGGGACTTAAAACTCGTATCTCGAGAACCTAGAAAGTTTATCGAATTTCATTTCAATCTCATGACCTGCATGGCAGCTGAAGTTTAAGAAAAACCTGAACGTTTTTCAGGCATGGCAGCTGAACGTTTTTCTGTTTACTACAAAATATTTTCTGGCACCATAAAGCAGAAATTCTTAGAATAAAAACTCTCATCACAACAACTTTCAAATTATTGCTCGTGTGCTACGTTTGATTTCGACGACATACATGACGTAAAACTAAAACACGACAAATTCAGGGGCGACCTACGACCATGGTCAGCAAAGTTCAATTCATGTTAGAAAAAGTAACTATTGCATACCATGTAAGATGAGGTCGCACTTTATCCTTGAAATAGGTAAATATTTTTTCACAGGAGCAATAGTACCAAAAACCTCTCCTGCTGTTATTCTCTTCCATGTTTAAGCGCTCGAGGTACAACCATTCCTCTGATTCAGAATTTAGCCGGCTACTCATATTTTTTAAAGCAATACCAGCGTGATTATGATCAAATTACGCCTTTTCGTCCATAATTGCACGTCGGAAACTCAAGACGACTCCGGTAGTCCGGTTGATTTGATTCATCGAAATTGGGTTCTCATGAAGAAATACAACCTCCCCTTGGAACAACACAGATCTTGCAACCATAATTTTAGCGTAAAATTATATCTTGCAACCATAATTCTTGAAAGAGCACGAAGCTTTAAAATATGACATTGTATGCAATGCACAGGATATAACCTTATAGAGAATTCGCAGTGCTCCAGACTGGCGAAGGAATTCATCCAAACCGGGAGGGTAATCCACCATTTCTTTATATACGTAACGTCGAAGGCATTGAGCTCTAAAAGACCTGGAGGGGCAAAGGGGCCTGGACCCCGTGGTCAAAAACATGGCGGTAATGGCGGATTTTGGTTGTCAAAACATCCATTTTTTTTAATTTTACCCCGAATCCCCTCCCTGCCATGACAACCAAACAACAACGATACCGTAAGCATAAAATATCTGAAAATAAAGCTTCATGTTGAGACAACATTGAATGAGGTAAATCTACTGTAAAATACACATTTAAAGTAATGCTTTAGCTATATTAGAAATAAATATCAAACGTCTTTTGTCAGTTGTGAAATGCAAAGGCGATGCGCTTAATCTGCGTGTTGTGTTTGGTAACAGCTTGGTGACAACTTTCTTTTGCTTCACGTCCATTAGGTAAAAGTTAGCTTATACAGTCGGCTCAATATATTATAAGTACAATTTTTTGAGATAGGGAATTCTGGTGTCTTATAAAGGAGTTCGACAACTGACAAATAGAACTGCTGTTAATTGAAATTCAGAAATTCTATAGATATTTCCCATTGCTATTGGATGCATTGTTTTCTGCTGCATCATTGCTATCTATTTTCGCATTGTAGATATTTAGCTGTTGTATGCTGCTGCTTATATTATGTTGCAAAATAATGAAAATAATGTATGTGAAGACATTTAAATAGCATAACGTTGTCTAATGCTTTAGCTATATTTATCAAACTATAATATAATATTATCTATGTTTTCTAGGTAACTTATTAAAACTTACCATTTATGTTTTTATTTGATTATTATTCTGTTATCTTATTCAGAAATTCTATAATCATGTTTTATTAGAAACTTTGGTACTTACATTAATTTTTGAAAATACTATTTTGCATTACAAACTTTTCTTATTGCTGCATCTGTAATGTAAGGCAATAATCATGGTGAATTTAAAAATGCTAATTGCTACTCTACAAATTACAGTAATGTTACACGTAACAAAATATCATAAAAAAGTTTATCTTGACAAAGTCCATGTTGCAGATGTGGCTTCTTTTACTAGATTGCTACTCTTATTCTTTTAAATGATATCGTAATTCTTCAAGTTCTTTGCCATCAATTTTCGCTTCTTCCACATTCAACTTCATTGCAACCAATGCATCTTATGTGAATTTTTAATCACCTGGAATTGAAAAATGTATGGATTTTGTCAGACGATGCAGTACTATATTTAATGTTTCGTGCATGTCATGATAAGCTTTTCTTGAGCAAATATTTCAAGGTAGGAGCAAAATTTGGCACATTATTGAACAAAGTAGTTTTTATCTTGATTTTGATGTACTAACCTGTTTACTACACTGTGTAATAAACAATTCATTTACAGAAACACCAGATGGCATTTATAAAACTTTTAGCATAAAGCAAACCTTTACACACCATCATCATGATTGTCCATAATCTGTCAAATTGTCCAGGCTAGCTGTTTAATACAGATATTTTTTATTGTACGACATGTACCAAAGAGCTCATTAATTAATCCTGCACTGCATTTGATTTCAATACAGCTCTGTCCTTAATATTTGCTTCATATTTTCAGAAAAATATCATGAAAAAATCCTCCATTTCAACTCAGTTGAAACAAGGAGTTTTAAGATATGCATATCTCGATAAGAACTGGTTGCTTTGCCTCGTCTAGCAAGCGATTAAGTAAAGAACAAATAGGACTGAATAAACATAACTTAAATTAAAACTTAGGAGTAAAAACATTAACAAAATATATACCATCACACTTCAAGTATTGACTTAAAACATAACACTGAACACTTTAAATGGTAAACAATCTTACGTTGCTTACCGGTGTCGTGAAATGCTTCCTTTTCAGGCATTTCTTCAGCATCCGTATGCCAAACAAGTTTGCAGCATGTTTTAAAAATAAAATTTCTAAAAGTTTTTGTGCTTGGCATTGAAATTTTATATAATCGCAATTGTGGTTGTCAAATCCGGGTGGGCGAAAAAAATTTTATTTTATGAGCCCGCGTCTTTCCGCTGACTTTGACAACCAAAATCCGCCATGTTTTTGACCACGCGGCCGCGCGCTGATAATTTATAGTAATTTTGTTGACGTTTCCCCTCCAGGTCTTATAGAACTCAATGGTCGAAGATTGACCGGCACACACCGAAGGTATCCGACAATGACTAAATATGGATAAGGAAGCAAACAATACATTTGTTTTGGGAATGTGAAATTCGGCAATAAAGTAACTTTATTCCCTCCTCCCTACTTTTCAGCCACCTTACACAATACGCATCACGCGCTCGTAAAAAACCATGAGTAGCCATTATTGGGAATTAAACGGTTTATAACATGGAAAATAGTTAGTTACGGTCCAGCTTCGAGAAACATCAAAGCATATATGAACAACATCAAATTTACGTGAATGAATTTCTCAAACATCACAACATAAAAGCAATCGTGTGACAATTAGTACAACAATGAATGACAAAAGCTGTTCCGTTTCCCGTACAAGTTCATCGAGTTCGCCACCAAAGACGCCGAAGTACTTCTACCAATTCCGTTTCATAGTGATCGGGGATTCCATGGTTGGGAAATCTTCGATAATACGCCAATTTACAGAAGGAAACTTCATCGACATAGCAGATACTACAGTAGGAGTCGACTTTCATGCACGCATTGTGGAACTAAGCGGTGGGTTGTATGCCGTTTTGGACACCACGTTTTCCGCTACTTGCATGTACTTCTACACTAATTTTAATCACAAGAAAGGCTATAAAAGGCTACAATTGGCAAATAATAATATGCGACGCGGCGAGGAGATGTTATCTTGAAACACGCCATGGTCCCATATTAAAAAGCGCGTTTTTCTACGCAATTACGCCGTTACAACAAACGCTTGCAAAAATTTAACATCCTTTGTCGCAATTAAGTGCCGTAAAATTTCGCAGAGGCGCTAAATATGCCAATACATTATAGAAAAAATACAAAGAATCTCTGGTATTTGCGCATGTATGTTTGTTTGTACACTTATCGGAAGTAAAAGTATTTTCTAAAGAAATTTCTATATCTGGCGCTTTGATTTAAGAAAATGCATTTGAAAATCGGACAGCCATTCGTTGACAATATTTCTAGATTTGTAAAACAAAATTGCGATAGTAAGTTTAAATTGGGAGAAAATATTTGTAAAATATTGCATACTATTAACATATGCGATAATGTCCGTAAATTGTATTAATTCAACATAGGAAATAGCAGTACCACTATTATCAATACCTCAACTTTTTCGAAAGTTCTGATTAAAGATAAGGTGGCTTATAAAGCCAAATAAATATATGCCAATGGCAATTAAATGATTCTGGTCAACAAGTTTTATTGAATTTTTAGCTCAAATACCGACAGGATTATATAATTAGCCTGTGTTGATTGCTTATTGACAAATATGACTTATTTACGACTTATTATTTATTTGACTTATTTACGACTTAAAGTAAATGGTTTGAACCCGGGAGTATCGTTATATGTTTGTAAATAATGATCGTCCAGGTTAATAAAGTCCTGAGAAGGACTGTTTTTGTTGTTGTTGACTTCAGAGTCAAATGTCTATTTGACTCTGAAGATGACTACCGCTAAGGTTGTCGAAACGTCAGTCAACAACAACAAAAACAGTCCTTCTCAGGACTTTATTAACCTGGACGATCATCATTTACAAACTTATTTACGACTTATTATTTATTTCATTAACAGAAGAGGTCAAAGTAAAGATCCAAGTATGGGACACGGCTGGTCAGGAGCGCTTTCGTTCAATCACTTTTTCTTATTATCGTGATGCTGTTGGCTGCCTCATAATATATGACATTACAAAGAAAGATTCCTTTTACAACATCACCGAATGGTATAAAGAAGCGAAGGAGAATGTTAACGAAGAGGAATGTGTCTTCATGTTGATTGGACACAAAATAGATAAGGAATCGGAAAGAAAAGTCTCAACCGCAGAAGGGGAAAGGTTTGCAGATGCACATGACATGTTTTTTATTGAAACATCTGCAAAAATATTGTGCAATGTGGAAGAAGCATTTAACATTGTTGCCAAAGAGGTGTATAAAAGATTAGTAAGGGGGCAGTTGGAAATGAAACCTGACTGGGATGGAATCAAGACTGTTTCAACACAACCTGCCGAGTTGGTCGGACTTGACAGAATACCATCAGTGGACATGTTGGTTGAGGAAAGACCCAATAAAAAATGTTGCTAAGTTTATAGAAGTTGTTCATACGGCTGTTTTTAAGTGCAGGTTTCTTAATGAACGATTGGTAAAAATATTTCAATATGATACAACTGTTTTCAGTAGATAATGTATGTAAAGATACTCTATGGAATTATTTCCATTACAGCACAACAAAAAATATTTCTGTTATCTATTCATTTATTTACTATCATTGTGTAGTAATGGTAGTGACACAAGAAAAACTTTTTCACCTTATGGACAATATTGTTAGTTTTGATCAAATTGATACACTGACAACATTAAGCTTTGAGTATTCAAATAATTCAACCAAACAAAGACTAAGTGATCTTCATCAGGTAGCGAAAGCCACACAATTTCTTTCAAATCTAATTTCTTTAAATCATGTATCTATTCATATGAATTTGTGGCTTGTTTTTAAAAAGTCATCGGGCAAGTGACCCAGGTTTAATTGCAAGCCATTCTGATTGTCCTCCCAAGGTGAAATCACTCTTCAGGGGTGGCACCAGAGGGGGGAATCCTAGCCCCCCGGTCTGGGAAAATTTGAAAATTTCCAATGTCGATTATTGCCGTTCGTTTAAAGTAATGTCAGCACTCGGCATCGGCAATAATCTTCATACACGCCAGCTATCCGACATCAAATTTAAAAAAATAATAAAGTTATTCTGAAATATATATTTTTGAATTTTCATTAGACAGCAGATATGCAAATGCAACATAAGATAAGCTGCATATGCATCGCCACGACGCTTGCCCGCTACTAGTTTTCTGTCGGTTGTTTTTTGCAACTTGACTTTCGAATTTTGAAAGGAATTTTTTTGTAAAAAAACTAAAAAACTCTGCTGTTTGAGTTTCAAATCAGCAATGAGCATCAGATTCTGACAGTTTTACATGTATTGGGGCCATTGCCATTGATAAATCACCATCAAGCGTCTGGTCAACTAATGTTGTTAGGAATTCATTGTGGTCGAGGGAGCAAACTGGATTTGGTTACCGTAGTGAACAAGTTCAATGATAAGTTTCCCAAGTGTAGAATTGTTCTCTGAACATCAAAAAATCAAATCGAATGATTCACAGAAGTTATATCATACACGTGCATTACTAATATTGCCTCTTATGTTTATGAATTATTTCCTAGTACACCGCTGATTCATTACCTACATGCAGTCAAAAAAAACTGCTCACCAGCAAAAAAATTTAACAGGGTAACATTGGGATAAAGTGCCAAAACATAAGATTTAAATAAATAAAAAAAAATAATAACAGTATATCTAATATCCTCGTCTCACTTTGATTTTAGGTTAAAGAAGTTGATCAATATGTTTATAAAGCTTTGACGGAGATAATTATTATTTGATTATTACAATCCAACATTACTAGAAAACCCAGGGCATTCTTTTTACTTACTGTATAGCTTTGTTATAGCCAATCATATGTATATCCCTGGATTGCATGCACGACTAGCAGGGCTGTTAGTAGAACGATGATTGGTGGGGATAGTCATATATTCATTTGTGCTCGACTGACTTCTTTTAAATTTTTTTTTTAAATCAATTGGGCACAACCGAATATATGAAAAGAATCTTCCAAATTAGCGTTCTAGTTGCGGCTCTCACAACTAGTCGAATACGTAGTGTTAATTTTCATGTAGATGTAAATTTTTATTTCCAAAACAAACTATATGTTTCCACGATTTAGTTAAAGCGAATATTTATAATAATTTTTGAAAATTTTTTTCTAAATAAAAGATTTGCATAGAAAGCGCATTGTCATATCAGCCTAGTAAGTAAGCCCCCCGTCGAGGACCTTAGCCCCTCAGTCGGGAAATTCCTGGCGCCACCCCTGTTGCTCTTAAACATTTTTATTGAAAAATTGTTTAAAAATCAACTTTACTTAAAAATTGTCATTGCAATAGAACAGTAGAACCTGTGTTTTGCCATAATTACAGACCACCCACCACTTCTAATGCTTTTGTTGCATTGAGGCACTAGCAATGTGAGCAAGCCCACCCTTTAATAATATTTCCAGACTACGTTTTTCATTGTTGGGGTTTATCCCCGATGAAAACATTGCTTGTAATGTAATTTGTCCTGTAACCAACGGCTGCCTGTCTTAATTTAAGCAATAGGCAGCGGCATAGCCTCAATTAGCGGCTGGAGACGAGGTACAAGCTATAAACACAAATTCAGGAGGGGAGGGGACAACAGTGCACAAAAAGCGACTGAAATTCAAGCGCTGTATTCTAAGGTCAGTTTTCCCAAAATTCATTTAATACGGCACAACTATTGTGGGGGCAGGAAGGGCAGAGTTAGCGCTTTCGTTCTTGACTATCGCATATTTCACACTTGTATTCTCTTAACGAGCACTAGCTACACGTGGCTCATTCATTAAAAAAAAGGCAAAGGTTTTAACTTAAAATGATTGAATTCGCGCAATTTTTCTTCGTCAGCAAAGAACTCGCCTCGCGATCTTAGCGGCCAAAAGCCTGGAACGAATTTAATCGCGACACTAATTTACGACCACTGGTCATTGGCAGTGATTAGCGACACCGATGTGGGTTATGCACAGTGGCTATGCATAACGAGCGACGGTATCGATTAACCTAACCATAATTTATTACGTAACATTTCTAGCATTTTGTTCGTTACAAAAGTTGCCTTTTGCGTCGTTCACAGATGAACGACAATTATAAGGTTGACAATCACACGAACTTTCACTTTTAGTGGTCTAATAGTCTATTCCTACAGTCGTTATATAAATTTCAGAACATTTCTTTACAAATCGACTGTTTTTGCGATGATTGAACACACAAAAAAATCTGTACGGTAGGAAAAAAGTTTGCGGGCTGTTTACGTAACTGATCGTAGTTTGCAAAGCTGGAAAGGGTGGTCGCTGCCGCTGGCAAAAAACAGATTCTACAGATAAATTATGGTTAATTTGAAAGAAATTTCTTCACCAATAAAAGTATTTCTATACGAACGTAGCTAATGGCAGAATACACGATGATTCGATCTTTCCACCTTAACCACTCCAACTAATTTTTTCACATAACCGACCCCAAATCTATTCTAACAATGCGTCAATGACCTTGCTCGCCTGGTAATGCAAATTGAGATTGACATGCACTCGCTAAATAATTTTTAGGCTATGTACCTGTATCATTACAACCAGCTAGCTATCACAAGCACATAGCTGCATCGTCGGGAACGATTCCGAGCGCCTTCAATGCGACGAATGCAGCCTCGGCTTTCGCGAGTTTCTTGTTGTTGCTCGCGATATTGTGTTGGTAACTTATCCCGTTGATGACAACTTGAAATAGGAAATCTTTCTTGTGCGCGGGCCCGCTTTCGTGAACGACGTTGTACGTTGGCATCTTCCATCTCCTCTTCGTACACAACTCGGCGAGTGCGGATACCGGGTGTTTGCCTGTACGAGAATATAAACGAGACATAGTCTTTGAAACTGTCAGTTTATCGTGCACGAGTCGAGTCACGTGCGAGTAAGTGTTCGGTTGGAAAGTCGCATCTCAAGAATTTTAAGTAGCGACATGAGTGAGACGTGACTGGATAATATGACGTTTGATTTCGTTCCATCGTTTACCGTTTCCCATGCTGTGAAAATTACCAAGAACCCCCGAAAAACTCGTATCAACTTAAACAAAGTAAAAGCCATAGCAAAAACATAAAATTGAAACGTAACACTGTAACATATCCTAACATGTGCGTGTTAAAAAAAGCGGGTAATAAGTTAAAGTGTCGGAAACATTTGACAGCTGTCCAGGTCACTGTGCCAACTCATCCATCCTTTTTTGGCGAACAGCAGACGTTATATCGAAAAACAATTTACTATTTTGAGGTAATTTTTAGTTCACTAGGTCTTATCTTAATCTATCGAGACAGCTAGATTGGTATTAAAGATCCTGAGGGGTTTGGCGACTTTCACGTGATTTTCACGCGATTTGTGCTGTAAACACCGACCTATAAAAATGGACAGCGCAGTCCAGATGTATAGCTCGGTGTTTCATACTTACCCCGGATCCAGTGGTTACCCTGGGCATGAGTCGCAATGAGTAGTATAGCTCCAAATGATCGCCTTATAAAAACGCTCTATGTTCTCTATAGGTAGAAATTCAAAAAGTCGAGTAACCCATTCTTATCTGATGTATGCAGGAACAAACAGAGTTATTCTCGCACACTGAATGAGATAGTCCGTGGAAGCGTTGATGTTTGCAACGCTAACATAGACCACATGCGTTGCATCAGAATGCCTCGACATATAAAAAAACGCAGGATTAAATACAGCGTTTAGAATTTGTTTTTTTTTGGGAGACGACACACAACTCAATGCCTATTTATGTGGAGCCAAATAGCCCCGATAGGCGAGTAACTTGTTCAGCCTGGTAAAAACGCGACCTGTTTGTATGGCTTATCACGTCGCTTACAGAAGCGATCCTCAGTATGCATACGTGTAAGTAATACAACAGGCTTTTGCTTATAAGGAAAATGTTCATCCCGCCTAGTCGGGTAATTCGCTTACAAAAACCAAGTTTCCAATGAGGTTAGTCACTCCGATTTGTCATTTATGTAAACGGTTGCAGAGAAAAAGCATTCCAAGTTTCCCGGGTGGATAAGTTATTCGACTGGCCAGGTAACTCAGCCCCATGTAAACAAGCCCTTAGCTATAGCAGCAGTACATCTTCGAGTTAAGACAATGGAGTACGTGCAACTTTGAGAACCTCTATAAGTTTGTAGATAACAACAGCTTAAACAAACAAAAGAAAGCAAAAATGCACGAAACATTCCGAATACAACCGATCGTCCCGCAATAAAAATGGGTTACTAAACCTCTTCAATGAATTATTCACGTAGCTATTATCCAAAGCGCCAAGAATGAGCTGAATGAGGCCAATAATGTAAGAATACGAATTACCAAGCCACCTAGCAAATGTAATAGAGTAATTTTGAAATAAAAATGATCATCGACACGGATATCACACGCTCTCTATAAAATACCACGATCAAAATCTAGAGTTAGTTCATTCAAACGGAGAGCATGCCGCAAGCATGTGCACTCCATTTGTATCGATGCTGGTTTTGACAAGACACTCGATTGCGTTTATGTCTAAAGTCCGTTTCAAACGTATCAAGTGCAAATGACAGAAATTACCAAGCATTTGTACAAGCATGATATCCGTGATGATGATTGGCAGAGAAAAGACCATACACACTCGCATAAACGACAATTCGAATATTATTTTTACATGAAGTATCGCCTTACCTTGCACGGCCTGTGCAGCACGGACGTTCTTACCCCCACCCTTGCCGGCGCCTTTACCGGGAGGACCCGCCTCGGTAGAGGAGACCAAGCCTTTCCGGTCAGTCTTTACGTCCAAGGCGATAGGTTCGTAGCTTCCTTCGCCCCTCTTGCCGATCACCTGACCAGGTTTCCAGCCCATTTTTTGCAGCAATCTCATACCGACACCACCGCGGATTGGGTTCAAATTTTGAAACATGTCCTAGAAGGGTTGAAATGGTAATGAAACCGTTAGTCAATAGCGTGAGATTGCGAGGCCGCAGATTCGGAAGTGCAATGAAAATATTTCGGATGCTACTACTAAAACAATACATCAAGAAAAAATGATGCTAATGACATGCATATGTTCGTGAATGTAAAGAATGCAGGCATCAGTGTGACCACAAATGTTAAATGTTCACCAGATTTTTACCTGAGCTTAAACATCCCCCGTGTTCTGAATTTTGCGACTATATAAAGCGGGTGGGAGAGTCAAAGCTCGTCAGACCAAAATCTAGTGAAAAATTTGCATGTATGGCCACACTGCTGGTCATCCAGAGAAGATCAATCGGACACAAAGTTTGTTTATGACACGTGGCAGAAGCAGGAAGAAAACAGCTATCTAATGGCTTGCTAACGTTTTTGTTAGTATTGTGCTTGCAAAAGTTTGATGAATATATATTGCAATAATATATTATTGCAATATATTTCAGCCAGCAAAGTCAGCACATGTTTGTTTTGTTTGGATTGTCATGGTTGACCTTGAAGAACAAAAACAGGAATTGATATTTAACAGAGCTCGTTATTTCATAGCGATTTCGGCTGCGCTATGTATATTTCGCATTATTAACATCGTTTACTTCTTTGCAAATCAACTTATTTAAAAGAAAGCGAAGACCAATGTTTACATAACACGACCAAACTTGGGTCGCCACTTTGATAAGTCACACCTTTTTTGCCCAAGCTTGATAGCCGCTGTTTATATTTTCTTTCGACGAGTTGACCAATGTCTCTCCTGTAAACTGTCCTGGCTTCAAGTTCACCGATGCCCAACTCTGCATTTTCATTTGAACTTCTTCCAACACGAGTCGCGCTTCGAAATCCTGAGGATTTGACTGAAGCCTATTCTGCGCTTCCATCCGCTTCGCAATCAAACCGCTTACATCAAGTTTCTGTTCAGAATATTAAATAAATTCATAAAAAAAATATCGCAATATCTTATCAGTAGGTTTGCATGTATTGGTTAGTCAAAATACTTACGCCAAATTTTTCGCATTCAAATTGAGCATCTCAAATTCCGAGGGCAAGTTGGTCAAGAAAGGCACAGTGCCAGTTTTATATCGTGAAAACAATAAAATTGTTACAAATTTCTTGCAACATGTTGCGTATCTGTTATAGCTGCTGTTAAATGACAGTATCACCGTCTTTTTTTGGGGCAACATGTCAAACTGGCTTTGTGTTGAAACTGAAAGCATAGTTTGCTAAGCCATTATGCTATCGAACTCACGATTCTGAACACGTGCCTTCTTCCCAAAGGCATCGAAATATTCGCAGGTTTTTCGGCAATTCATGGAGCCAAAATCAGTTTTTGCATCGACATGGTCAAACGAAGGAATTACATACGTTGAACAAATGAAAAATTTGGTAAAAACTTTAATAAAACAACGACAGCCTACTTTCCAGCTGTATAAATCATGGCTACCCCTGCCATTTTGTGAAGTAAAATTATGTTGTCGTAAAATCGTTTTCTGTCTATGCGGAATTTCTAATTGCTGCCTTTCAAACGGCTATGGATATAGAAAACATCGAAATAAAAATGCTGTCGAAAATAATCCACCATAGCGACAAAATAAGATGCTAATTTTTAAAATACCATATCGCAACCGGTGTTCAAATTGCACAAGTTTACAAAGAAGGAAAAACTACGTAGTTTGTTAGCGTGAGTCCACATTTTCAAGAACACTTTTAACAAAAATGGCAAAAATGGAGAGCGCGTCGACATCACTTCGAGGTCAGCGGTCTTAAACTCCTAATTGACAAGGCCGCTGTAGTTTTATCAAACTCGATGTGTAGAGACCCCTCCCCGTGAAACATTTTTTAATGCAGGGGTATGTGAGTGCTATGACACAATACCTCCTGAATGGTGGCAGTTTGAAAAACTTGCTCCGTAGCAGCGATGCTACCGTCTACACCTTCCACGTGTGTTTTGCTCGTGTTTTCTTTCGTTTTGTGTTGGTTGCCACTTGACACAGGAAACGCCTGCTCAAGAGGACGCGTCGGCTCGATTTTCTTCGGAATCTAACAAAATGAACAGCATGAGTAAAATATGTATCTGGGAAAATTAGTCGAACCTTGAGTGGTCTTGGGCAAGTGAAAAATATTGTCGGCAAAAGTGGCACAAGTTTTCTTTAGAAGCACAACTTATATGGTAATTGTATGAAATCAAGGATGGATCCACGATAGTTTCCAAAGGGGAGGGAGGGGGGTGTGTGCACTATTTTGGAATAGATTTCGGGGGATACTTGCTGTGCCGTTTCATGTCAGACTTTTTTCATCATGATTGAAAGAGTTTTGGAATTGCGCCCATTAAAAATTAGTCACAACTGCTTTCCTTTAGTTGTTTAGATGCATTAGTATTGTGAAGGGAAATTGGCACCCCTCCGCTTTCCACCCCTAAATTCGTCTCTTTAAACAACAGCGTGTGTTGTTTCTGCCGTGAAAGACATTTTCTCGGAAGTATTGGTAAATTTAAGAAAGTATTTTCTTGGGGGGAGGGGGGCCAAACTTGGGAAGAAAAGTATTATCAACAATAAGCCTTACCGGTAAAATAACAGGAGTAATAACAATGTCCTTGGCAGGCTTCACACTGAATGGGTGATATGCTGGTGAAGACTGCGATGCGTTCTCGTTGGTTTCGTATGCCCCATCATTGTCAAGCTTCATCTCATTTTCTGTAAGTTTCTTACATAAGGCAGTGAAATCTGCAATGCTCTTGCTAGGTTTCGTGTCAGTTGTTGTGGTGGTGCTTATTGTGATAGTTGATGCTGCCATTACGTGACTTAAGTTAACTGGGATAGAAGCAGCTACTGCATCTGAAGATTTTGACCTGCTACGTTTTCTTGAACGTGAACGCGATCTTCGTCTGTCATACGAGTGAGGAGACCTAAAGCTACCACGTCTTTTTGAAGAGGACCGGGAATACCTGGATCGCCCATTCCTTCCTGGAGACCTAGATTGTCCAATCTTTCTTGGAGACCTGGATCGTCCATTTCTTCTTGGAGACCTGGATCGCCCATTCCTTCTTGGAGACCTGGATCGTCCATTCCTTTTTGGAGAGCTGGATCGCCTATTCCTCCTTCGAGACGTGGATAGTCTATTTTTTCTTGGAGACCTGGATCGCCCATTCCTTCTAGGAGACACGGATGGTCTATTTCTTCTAGGAGACCTGGATCGTCCAATTCCTCTTGGAGACCTGGATCGTCCATTCCTTTTTGGAGACCTGGATCGCCTATTCCTCCTTCGAGACGTGGATCGTCTATTTTTTCTTGGAGACCTGGATCGCCCATTCCTTCTAGGAGACACGGATCGTTCATTTCTTCTTGGAGACCTGGAGTGACTACGACTTTTTGGTGACTGAGAATGCATTTGCTCATTAGAAGTGCGAGGTTGACTGCATCTTTTTGAAGACTGGGCTGTGGACGTGAATTGGAGGCGTTTTTCTGGTGACCGAGAATGACTAAAATGTGAGGATGATCGTGATCTTTCAGGCCTTTCTTCAGCCATGGATGCTCTCCGATCGGATTTCTTATCCTTGTAATTTTTTCCTCCGGATTCCCAAGACTGTTCTTTTGATTCTGATCTACTGGACATAGAGCCGCTTTTCTTCATTTGCCTACTTTTTGAAATCTTCTGTTTCCTCGACTTTTTATGACGTGATTGTGTCCAGTCTTTCTCGGGTGTCTTACTATTAGACCTTGACTTATCAGAACTTGATCTTCTATCCTTTGAAATCAAACATCCACTTGTTGATGTCTTTTCTCCTGTCTGCAATTGGTCAATTTTTGATGAAACCATGTCAGGAATATATTGTTCATAAGAATCCGGAAGCTTTTTCCAAACTTGAGGGGAATCACTTTTTTTACTGGAGTCAGCTATGTACAATCCCGGATCAAAGATCTCAAGATCTTTCCTAATTTCATCAGATTCATAAATGTCATTCACATTATCAGCATCAACATTCTGAATATTTTTATCATCACATGATTTATTTACAACAGGCATCACATTTACATTTGTCTTCTCCAGTTTGCCAGATATTTGATCTTTGGCCACAATCCCATCTTCATTGATTGGCAAGTCTAACATTTTCTCCTTGGCTGAGAAATCTTCCTCATTCTCTGGATCACCCGAGTCTGAATGATCATCATCGACGTGAGCTTTGTCCTTTTCATCTTCTTTGGAACGGTGTTTGGTTTTCTTCCCCTTTTTATGCCGTCTTCTTTTGATTGATTTCTTCTTTGACTTTTTCTTAGAATGTTTGGACTTCTTGTGCTTTCTCCGCAAAGGAGATTTTGATTCCTCCCAATTTTCTGGTTCTTCTTCTTTCTCCTTGTTGTCTGAGGGTTTGTTTGATGAGTTATGGGAAGGTTCTTTTGGTTCCATATTGGTTAAACTAGAATACAGCCATCAACTGGAAACACAAGAGATTCAACAAAATTATACCTGATTGTGAGTCGCAGTTAAGGCCATGCAAAATAGACAAAAACTACAAAGAGCTTTGAAAAACTGACTATTTCTGGACATACCAGAAATTCAAATTCTCTGGACATAAGTGGCATGACTAAAAATGACCGAAATTGCCATGATTTATTAGAGTAGGTATATCGTCCAAAACAAATAAGGTAGATATTTAAAATATCGTTTCAATAAAATAGTTTAATACTGTCATTTCATTTCATAAAATATGTAAAAGAACAACGAAAATGAACAACAAAGCCTTCTTCAACTCATGTGCTCTCTAATTTCTGTCAAAAATTCAAATACTTCCGACATTACTACGAATGGTGTCGGGAGATTCCGAGTAAATATTACCCAAAATGTCTTCCCGAAACGGACCGAGAGCGAGTGGAACGGATGGATCAGACTTCACTCATCGAGAGAAAGTTGCTTCGCATTACAGAGACAGCGTGAAATGGAAAAGTAAATTAAAACTAAATCTGTCACTCCACTTACTTTGCGTATCCCTCGTAGCTACATGGTCTATATTAGGTCTTTTTAAGTGAGTTCTCATCTTATTTAGTGTTGTTTATCATATATTAAGAGCATTAAGTAGCAAATTTAAGGACACATGTAAGCTTTGACTATTCCATGCACAGTTTATCTGCCCTGAACTGGCAAATGGGGATTCGACCAATACTAAAATTCCCAAATAAATGTTTACGAGGCGATGTCCAATTGTCCATTGGTACTCCTTCTTCAAGGCAGCCATAGCACTTGTAACTACAGAATTTTTCATCCACTAGGGACGATGAATATTGCCTCCCGCCAGCTATGCCACTGACAATCTCCTGATAAACCAGTGGCAGATCTAGGGTACATCAATATATATCACTGCAGCTCATTTATGGATGTATAGTCAAACCTCTACTTATGAAAACCTCCTGTAAGCAAACACTGCTTTGGGTTCCTCACCAATAAAACATTACTTCTCATAACCTCTCCTGCAAGTGCACACTAAGTCTTGGTCCCAAAGGTATCTGCTTAAGAGGCATTTTGATTGACAAACTTTTATTCTTTAGAAATTTGAGAAATTAGTTTTGTTCTGAAGGTGCTATGACTTTAAAATCAAGCACCTAAGACTTGTTTTGACAAATGCTGGGTCTTCCAGTAATAAACTTGTGAGTCTGGCCATGCCTAACTTAGTGCGTAAAATAGTGTGTGTAAAATATACACTTCATCAGGAAAACACTTGTCTTATACTAAAAATGAACAGAAAAAGGTATTGAAGAAAATATAAAAAAAAGATAACTGGTTTCAATGTTTTAGATTTGTAAAGTTCAAAGTAGCTGACTGGCACATCGCCTGGCTTTGTAGTGCAGTTCCAGTCCTTCTGGGCATGAGCAGTTTACCAAAGAACAAACTCGGTCAGATGTATGCCTTTGTAATTGGCTATATCGTACTCGGTTTTGGCTCGTTGACTTATGGAGGGACAAAATACTCCAAAACATTTGTCGAGCATGTGTACCAGAAATCACCTCAAATGCTAGATGTTCGCGGATTTTCTCTGAATTTGGCCATTCTTGGTTTGGTCTTGCAAATGCAGATAATGGCTTTGTACTATGCAATAAGACTGATTGGAGCATGGCGATCAAAAGGAGAGAAGAAAACGTCATAAATAATGTTCATTACATAATATCAGATAGTTTGGTTGTTTGGTACACATGACAGTGTACAATGCTGAAATATATCATCATAAGATTTGCTGTCATGAGATTTATCTGGATAGTGATTGAAAGAAATGAATAAATGGTTGCTTTAATATTTATTTTTTTAGTGAAGTTTTCTTCACTTTCAACACAAAAACTGCAAAAACTTTTGTGACTAAAGTCAATGTGGACGATTTCAGCATCTCTTGGAATGTTTTCCTACCATTGACGTTGTTTGACCTGATTTCCATTTCAGTGAATTCCTCTGTTGATAGTTCTTGTATAAACCTGGCCGGACCCAAAGTCTGGCCAAGGGAATTGGCTATTTCCAATCCTTTTGCCCTAGCATTTTGAACAGCCACAACACACGATTGCCTCCTGAGATAAATGTTAAAGTTCAAATTTAATGAGAATTTTACCACCAAAGGCTGTATTGAATTTGCAAAAGTTACTATCTTCAAGTGTAAGAAATTAACCAGTCTATTGCATGACCTTGTTTTCACCCCAAAATGCATTATAGTTAAGAAATTTAGAAAGCACTCTTGGTCACCTCACACCAAGGCAAAATGTTCATCATCAACCAATAACAGCAACTTTAGCCTAAAGCTGTGACTTGAGAACCCCCAAACTGCTAGCAATGGATCATTACTAATGAATCTGACTCAAATAACAAAGAACAAGCTTTTGATACTATCACATTTTAGTTTGTCGGAAAATGATCTGTTAACTCCAAAGAAATTTGATATTGGAGGTAAACACAAGCATGCAAAGCATTACTGTGAGAATTATTCGTTAATTAACCTTTTTCAATTGAAGTAATACAAAACTATTGAGAATGTCAAGCAACATCATTCTTTGCTTGTTTTGATAAAAAAAAACCCAAAACAAGCATTTGTTTGATAAAGATTACACACCTTACCTTAAACTTTCAATTTGTCCATCATAATAATGAAAAGTAGGTCTTGATACCACCACAGTGCTATCAAGTTTCTCCACCAAGAGGTTGCTGACTTCTTGACATTTTGTAAAGTTTGTGAACTGGACGGTAATTTCAACACTTAGTTCATACTTTGATTCACTTCGATTCAAACATCTGTCAACAGTGTAAAAGTTCTTGCCGATATCATGTGAATGCAATGTTTGCAAAATGTAATCGACACGTTTGTTCACACTAGTCTTGACTGCATCCACAGTGTCCTAAATAGCAGTTGGGAATAAATCATGAAAAGATCTATGTAAAGAAGGCATATTGCTTTATCATCTAAGGTGTATGAATAGAAAGGTCTAATTTGAAGTATCATTGTAATATACAATAGAAATAGCACTACAAATTACGGCTGTAAAAGGTTTGATAATTTACTGATTCTATGCACACATGGCAGAGATACTTAAGACAACTAGAAATACACGAATGCTTAGAATATTATGTAATGCAGAGTTAGCATGTTTTCATGTTTTCCTTTTATCTTGACTTAGGGCACTAGAATGAATTCAACAAATCATCTTTATAAATACCTAGTGCACATAAACCATAAAGAAACACACTTGGTTAACTGCAACAAGACTGACATTCCACTTCAACTAGTGTATGTCAACTTTAAGTGGAAAAGACTGAGAAATTTGACAGATGACAATATCAATAAATACAAATTTAAATAGATGACCACAAGAACTGTCAAGGGCAAACAACAATAAGGCTAGGTTAGAATTAGGATCAGGGTCAAGTTAGCTTGTAGGTAGCAGAAGTTTGTGGCAGGATATACTATTTTCTGTTTTTAACATATTTCTCCCAAAATGAGAAGGGTAAATGTCACACTTGGTAAAACATAAACCCAAATTTCAAGTGTGACCAAGCGATTCAACTTCAAGCACGCTTTGAAACATTTAACTTAGCATTACTGCTCAAACACTTACAAAGACAATTCACACCTTTGAATTGATGCAGGTTATAACAACTTGAGCATAATTAGGATCAACTTTCACGGAGCCTGTTTCGTACACCTGAATGACATCAGCGAGGTCGGAAGGTCTATTTCCCTTCGTAGCGTTTTCCTCTTGTTTCACTCTATCGTCACTGTAAAACTTTGAAGGTTTTTCTTCGTTTGAAGTGAACTGGGCATATACTTGCGCAGGATAGAACCATCTTTTCGGTTCGGCAATCATCTTCGTCAGTTTGCGACGAACTGCGTATACTACCATTGTATACTACAGGCAAAGTTCGTTATTTTCAAGCATGAATATTTTTCCCGACTAATCGAAATATTTGACGTTTGGTTGACGTTAGATTTGTTTTTTTTTTGACAGTAAAATCCTGGGTTATTTTATCCAACAACCATATTACTCTATCGCAATTCATGGATAAATAAAACAATATTATTTTTAATTTAATATTTCAAACCACATTATACGTCAATTTACGTGAAACGATTTTCAAAATACCAAAATTACCGGTAAATTTTGTCTTTATGGAATATTTCCAAGATTCAGACTTGTATTTGGGCAGAGTTTACATAAGGAACAAATGCTTACTGTGTTTCCGTAAGCCTGTGAAAACGCGAAAAAATCAGTTATTCTTTTATAAAATTACTATAATGCAAAAGAGATAAATAAATTAATTTAAAACAAATGTTTTAATTGTTACAGTGTTACTGCAAACATAGATATAGACCAATCAGCGCACGCGTTACATTGTTTTTTATATTTTCTACCGCGTGTTCCACAGTGTTCACGTCTTGTGATCGACGCGGGACAGCCACAATTTCGAGACAAAATGGTGGACGACTCATTCGGACGTGCGTTAAGAAACTTACCTGAAAAAGCGAAACGACTGCTTCTGATGCAATTCCAAAGGGCATGGAATATGTATTCTGGCATGCTTATTGACGATCCAGCGATTTCTACTCGATTGGAAGCACTGCTTCGCGTCTTATCATACGTGGTTCCTGGTCGCTTCGTGGCCTCTCAAGAAATCGGTGAACTTCTATACAGCTCGTCAAACTTGTTAGCCTTGCTGCACGATTATATTTTTCGAAGTCACATCACGCTACCAAAGCTCCCTGGAACAGAGGCAGAAAAACGACTGCTTATGTACCTTTCCGTAATCGAAAGTGTCGAGGTTTTTTTCGAAATGACGGCGCATACGCTTTGGGATGACATTGGAAAGTGGTTAATTGTTCTTTTGATACAATTGAGCAAAGTTGGAATACGTCTATTGCTACTTCTTAAGAACCAACCAAAGTTGCAAAAATATCCTTTAATACCGTTGCTCAACCGACAACTGGTCGCCGAAGGCGCGCGAAAACAAAACATACAAACTGAAAAGGAAACTTTTGGAAAACAGGATGGACTTGGTACACCTGGTGAAGACCACGTATGGCAAGGTGAGCGATCAGGTCGCTATATTCGTTCACTTTCTTCAACTCCGCCCAATGGCTTCAGATCTTGGAAATTGCCACAGTTTCCAGTTGGTAGAGAAAACCCAACAGTTCTGAACAATGCCCAGTTTTATGCAGAAATTCTACATGTTATTAGACCACTTCTTCACATGACCAGCATGTTTGCTTTTGGTGAAAAGTCTTGGAAGCCTTGGTTGCTATCACTATTCACGGACACTGCAAGCTTAGCAATACACACTCGTTGTAATCAAAGGTTAACCTCGATGGAAAAGACAGAAATATCAAGAAGACTTATGCTTTTGCTTTTATACTTGCTGAGATCACCTTTTTATGATAACCATTCCAAAGCTAAAATATTGTTTGTAATGAATGGTTTAGCAAACCGTATTCCCTTAATCTCTTATGTCATTCGACCGTTACTACAGTATTTGCCCTGGTGGCAAAGGACATATTTCTACAACTGGTGCACTTAATTGAGAAGCCTACCATGCTTCCAAACAGTTTTTAGGACAATTTCATGGATAAAAGGGCATGCAACTAAAGTATCATTTGATTATCTAATAAGCATGATGATATTTAAGAATTAATACTTTGATTGAATAAAATAATTGATGCAGTTATAATAAAATCAAGTATTAGTCATTGTCACAACATATCCCAATCACGAGGTCGCACAAAACAGTATTGCCATCAAGGTTGACGAAGGTACATGCCTAGCCATCGGTTGACCCCAATTGACCCTCAGTCGTTTAAGTGATTGAGCGCATTTATATTCGAGAGACTGGAGCGAGCAGTTTATGTCTATTTCTGTTTATCGTGATTCTTTTCGTGAACTTTATTTAAACACATTTCACTGAAAACACCGGCGTATTTAGCGGGAAAGCAGTAGAAACGGCGAGTATGCATGTTGATGCAAACCCGAATCAACCAAACGAAGTGCAAGAAAGTTCATCGTGTGAAAATGCTGTAAAATCAAGCAGAACTGAGAAAAGCTGTTTGACTGTCACCAATGTTCCTGCTTGCGTTTTCATTTCGGACGAAGGGAAGGTAGATTATCAAGCGATAGTTCACGTATTTAATGCAGTTTTCTTAGCATTTCTCCACAACCAAGTTTAGTCCATTTGTCCATTTCTGATTTTATGGCAAACAGACGTGTTTATTGATTTTATGAACAATCATGTTTCGTTGTTTGTAAACTTAAGTGGCATAATCAAACTTCACGTAATCGGGCAACTGTAAGAATAAACGTTTCGATGATGAAAATATGCAAATTCGCACAAAATAAAGGCAAAAATTTACTAAAGACAACCACTGCTTCCTACAGACTCCACAGAAAGTCTGAACTTCCATAATTTTAGATTGAACCCAAGATATGATTGAACTGTTCAAACCAAGTCAACCATACACAAACAATAATTGCCTTCAGATATACAATAGACAATTTTCTTCCTGTTTCTAGGAGGAATTTGAAAATCTTATTAAAGAATATGGTGCAATAGTATCCATTATATATTTGCAAAGTTTCAGACGTGCAAGAGTCCTTTACCACAAAGAAGACGATAGCTGCTCGGCAAAGGCCAAGCTTAATGACTTAACCTTCCATGGGAACAAATTAAAAGCATATTTCACACAGGTAATGATACTTAAGAAGCAGTGCAAGTCTTTGAATGCCATACACTCATAACCATTTTTTTATTTGCTGTCTATCTCAGATCCCTTGTTCTCCTGCATTATCATCAGTATCTACTTCTACTCTACTCCATCCACCTCCACCAGTCAAGCAATTTGTAATATCACCTCCTGCCTCGCCACCCGTCAATTGGAAACCAACTACAGAAGCATCGCCTGTCGTAAATCATGAACTCTTGACAGCCATTGCAAGGCTCAAGCCAAACCAACCTTTTGAGGCCCATGTAGCTACAGGTGATGAGCCGAGCATCACTATTCACTGGTGTGAAGAGGAGGACAAATCGGGGGAAAAGAAAGATCATCCACTGTGTAATTTACCAAGGCATGTGGTGCAGACACAAAAACCAAACACTTGATAGCCTGGCACTACTTTACCATTTTGAGCCAAAGTCATGCTTTCCACAAAAATTATCTTTGGAAAATGTATTAAGTCTTATTTATGAATTTATTAGTGTATTTAAAGTGAATAGTGAAGGTAAATTTACTTACAATAATTGGGATGTATTTGTTATCATGGTGTATTACTCCAACTACAACTGTATAAAAAGGAAAATGCTCATGTCAAGACTAGGAATATTGCTTTCAAGGTATAAAGTGCTGTGTGTGTATATACATAAACTGTTCAACAGAGGTGGCATTGATGGTATTGTTGTAGGTGGCATTGGTGGTGCATTGATGGTGTTGTTGTAGGTGGCATTGGTGGTGCATTGATGGTGTTGTTGGTGGCATTGGTGGTGCATTAGTAGTGAATTAAGTGATGCGTAGGTGGTGCACTGGTGGTGGCATTAAAGGCCGAGTTAGTGCTCAGCATTTTGGTGACAAGTTTACCATAAGAACACAAATACTTCTTCATAAGTGAGTCTTGCCACAAAGCGATTACCGCGTGTCGTACGACATTTTCATTAATAGGAAAGACGGACATCAAGGTCTTGTAACATTCTAAAATATACAACATCTTCATAAACAAGGAGTGTAGTTTTTCTTTGAACTATAAATCCATTGATGTAAAAGTAAGACCATCAGGTCATAGTTGTTATAGTCAAGGCAGCAGCGACCTTTAGTTGAGTAACAGTCGATATATATTTTCAGGAGGGACCCGGATCGACGGTCCACAATACTGCTTTCCCACGACTCGATTTCAAGTGTTTTGTCGAAACTTTTAACGAGAGTTCAGGCACAGACAATCGTCAGTATATATCTATGTACGATCGGGTTTGTGGTTGAGTTCAAAGTACAATTAGAATTAATTACAATGAGCTTTAGAAATGATAAATCTAAAGAGCGAATAATTGGAGTTGATCGCTATTGATAATAAATTTAACGTATACTCCTCTATTCGCCATTCGAACTTAAAATGTTTTTAAGAAATAACTGCATTCCTTCAAGCACCATCGAAATTCGTACGCACCGAACGTTAACAAAAAGTTAATTTAAAGTTAAGTGCTTTGTTAGAAAAACAGAAAATTTTAGTAATCTCCACTTGAAGACGGTCACGAAAACTTTTCCAATGAAACCAGTCAGACACAACTGATCAGCAGAATATATAAATACCCCACTCAACATTTTATAGCCGGCCCTGAACGATATCCTATGAATGTTATAGAATTAAATCCACATACCTCACAAGAAATACGAAATACTTGTGTGATTTGTCATCTTCTTTTCATACCGAGCATATCGACCTCGCAAGCGGAATAATGTCGTTCCAACGTGTTGCTTCTCGCCTTTGTTGATTCGCTGAATGATCTGGCACGCATACAAACTAGCTCATTTGGGAATGAAAGATGTATGGAATCCGTTGATAGTATGTTAGAGGATGATGATTTTTGTTTACTAAAATTTTCAGAATCTTCCAACATGCTTTGACGAATGACTTCTTTGATTACTCGAACAGCTTCGTTCCTATCTTCTGATGTTCTGAAAAAGAAAGCATCCATTACCTCGTTACTGCATGCACAAAAAAATTTATATGCTTGTTGCATTTTAGAAAATTTCAGCCCTGTTCTCGTTCTCTGTTGTTCATTCTGCACTACCTACACCGACAGGCTGATACGTGATATCATACTTTATATTTAAGGTAGTGTAAAGACAGTTCTTGTATTCTGCATGTTGTTAATTAATTACTACCTAGATCGACACAAGTCATGTTACGTATATTATAAGTTGTGCAAAGACTGTTTTGTCCTCTGTTGCACACTCAGAACAAAACAGAGCAAAGTAAACAACATAGTAGCTCTGCTGTATCCGGATACCTGCTGGCCAACAAATACGTGGTCTCAGATTGACTGCTTCCATTAGATGAGCTAGATACATCCACAAGTTCCCAAGCGCAAAAAAGATCTATAATAAATAAACATTGACCATTTCATTTCTTTGACTATTGACATGAAAATATACATATCTGAAAAAAGAAAGAAAAACCATCCGTATTTGTAACGAATATAGTGGTTAGTCGCTGACTGCAAACATCTACTTAAAAAGATCATTCAAAGATTCAGTTTACCTTTTTCGCTCGAAGAATTTTCACGCAACGTTAGTGAAGTAACAGGTATCAACGTCTTGAAGTTGATTTCCTCAAATATTCTCAGAGATTGTTTTAGCGACTAGAATGAAAAGAGCAATTGTTTTTCAAGAGTCCATTCAACAACAGGGACTAAGAGAAAAAACCCAACGTTAGAACGCCCTTACATTCTCAGCGAGTTATAATTAGTTCACGAGAAAATGGTTTTGCTATGAAACTGTATCAAATACAAGCTGGCGTTTGTCAACAACCATAACTCTCCAATCCACATATGTACATGGTTTACATCCTATTCATGCTCACATTCAAAGAAACATTTCAATAAAGAGATGTCTGGAGCTGAAATTTGGCTTCATGCAACTACAGCCATGTTTATGTAAGTAAGGTTGCCATCCAGTAACATATTGGGTTCAATGATGACAGACAATTTGAGTTTTCTAACTCTACCTGGAAAATCTATACTTATACAAACGTAAATGATGGTGCAGTATTTTATTCGTATTTAGGCCAAAAAAAGCAGAGAAGCTGAAATGGGGAGTTGTTCGTATTTTCACAGGTTTCCTGCGCCATAATGGCAATAGGGTTTGCTATTATCACATTTTCAAAAACCTATTGATCATGTACGTTCGTATGTCAGAGATTAAAAAAATGTCAAACGTTGAACCGACGCTCCACAATCTGATCTATACAGACCAGAATTACCGATGGCAGATCCAAGATCAGTCAAAATAAATTAAAACCGCTTGATTTTGAATACAAAACCTCTACAGAAAAAATAATTGGTCGTAAATTTCCCAATAAAATTTCACCAATCGAGTTGCTTCCAGAATACACGAATGACCAAAAATGACCGACAGTAAATTTTTTTGACGTACCCTGGATCTGCCAATGACAACCATAAGTGAAATAGTGTCGTTAGAATCAAAAGCGTAGCCAGCCCACAAGTTACGGTCGTGTTATTTCAGAATATTATAACAATACACTTCATGTTTGTAGATGTTGATCGTCCTGGTAAGTAGAGTCCTGAGAAGGACTGTTGGTGTTGATGTTGACTGACGTTTCGACGTTCGCAGGACTCTACTAACCTACTGACCCTTCTCAGGACTCTTTTAACCTGGACGATCTACATCAACAAACATGTAACGATACTCCTGGGTTCAAACCATGGTTTGGAAAAGTTTACATAGCAGGAGGAAATATGCTGCTTGGCTTAGTTGATACAGCCATACTTGGTACTTACTTTATCTCTCTTCTTTAATCGTTTTTCCAGTTGAACGAGTATCGCTACCTTTTTAAACACTGAAATACAAAACAATAAGAATGTGGGCTATCAACTATACACAAGATTTCGCGCATGTTGGATAAGACAAACGCGACGTTCCTCTCGATTACAATGTTGCTGTACAATATGACATGAATGGGCAAAAGAAAGCTTCAAAAATACATTTAACTGTTGCAGATCTATAACTTGGCCACGAGGGCAAACAGCTTTTATGCAAAGTATCAATAGTTCTCAAGTATATTTGTGGTTCCTAAAACACCATCTCAAACTCGTCGATTGATCTATCGCTCTCACCAAACATCTATGTTCCTCCCTCCCAGATGATTTATGGTTCACGCCAAAATCTATAGTTTTTGCTAGGGAATGTAAGACCATCGATTTCGATTGAACTAAAACCAATTAGCATACATAGCAGTGTCTCAGACGTTTCCATAGTTTCCACCAAGATTGTTTGGAATTATCTATATGGATCCCCAATTGCCGATAAAGATGCATTCATTCATTAAATATGTTCAACATAAATAAATACAGCTAAGGCCGGCAAAAAAAGCACAGCAACAAAGACAAGGCATTCCACAATAAATTTTGTCTTCGTAGCGCTTTGACGAATACGAAAGCAGTAAATAATACGAGGTCGTGGAGTTTCAAGGCCAGTCGTCGTTTAGGTTCAATAAACGACATAGCTAGTTGTTTTTATAAGATAGGCATCTATCAAAGCTTGTTTACAGTATAAGGGCCTAAACCTAACCCTAAACGTAAAAGAAAATAGGATACAAAGAAACGTCAATACTCATTAAACACTCACCAAAACAACTAACAATAGTTTCGCTCTTCATTTTTCTCGTGGGAGCGGGACTCCATCGCAAACTGGAGGCTTTCAACGTCTCTGGTGAATTCAACCAAGTCACATCGGTATGATAAACAAGTTTATCGACGTCAACATCAGAGACCTAATACAAACAGTGATGTTAGTTCAATCATTGGAACGTGCGAACTTGAAGTGCCTGCGAAACAAATTTTTTTACTATCTTCAATAAAAGAATTCTACATCTGACAGACTCAATACAACTACAATATTTGCTTACGTCTGGAACCTGTGAAATTTTGGTGATATGTTATTGAGAGCATACATCGTCATTCAGTCGATCGTTTCAAATTTGATTTATTTCATGTACAATAGAGACTTTGTCGTGATAACAAATCTAAAAATTGTTTTAAAAATAGCAAATACCATGGTGAATGGCGAAAATAATAACGCAATAGCTCTTAAAACAACGGTTTAAAACAAGAATACTAGAACTATTGGGTTGGTGTTCTTGTTTTAAAAAGTTTTTTTAAGAACTATAACGTCGTCATTTTGACCATTCACAATGGTATTTGCTATTTTTAAAACAATAATTCATGTATGTGATCCATTTTCACAGATGCGTAACCAACTCGCTAATTGTGACGGCCCCATACATTCATATATTCATGTTTTGCGGAAAAAGTTCTTTGAAATCAATTGTTCTTCACGGATTACTACATGAATGTATGAGTATCCTCCCCCTGACAATTATCGATCGTGCTAAGCCACAGTTTCATGATAGACGAAAACAAGTATCGGGCTTATGAAGAGCATTACGCTATAATCTTGGAATTAAATGCTCGTACATGTTGATCGTCCATGTCTACTTGACTCCGGAGATGACTACCGTAAAGGATGTTGAAAACATGAGTCGATCTCAGGACTCTACTATGCTTGACGATCAACATCTACTACCAGATTCAAACCATTTACTTCATGGACATGAGCGTAAGGAGATTGATAATTGAAGACGGCGGGATCATATTCTTATATCGTAATCCGCAGAAAACTATAAATTTCGAAGGAGCTTAACATTACATAAGATGCATATATGAATATAAACCCACCCCTCCCCCCTTCTCAAACTATCGATCTTCCTGAACCCACAATCGTGGACTTACATGAAGTCCTGAAGTGTTCTTTGCCAAGTCTTGAAAGATGGGTAAAAATCTCTCGGTAACGTTTTGCATATCGTTGATGTGTCGTGCGACATTTTCCAGGGCATTAATTGCTTCTGTTTACAAAAATGGAAACAGTATTTTTTGCTTAAATTTATAATCGTTACAGTATGTAATCAAACTGCAATTCATAATTGATGAAATTCGCATGAACTAAGGGATAAGGCCACGTTTGGTTAGAATGTAGAAATTTCGAAGCTCAATCATTGAACAGGCATGAAAATTCATGTAAACATGAAGGACAGGAGTTTTTCATACCAACACGACAGATAGCTTATAAAACCACAGTCTATGTGTTCACGTCCACCCCCCACTCCCCTCCCTCACTTGCAAGTTATCGCCTCTTTATAAAACTTTTAAGAGCTTTAAGACATTTATACTTCATTATCCAAATGAAACGTTCATATACATTGATGTCGATTACTGCAAGCAGGGACTGAGGATTAAACATTGGAGTTCACCAATGTTGAAAATAACAACTCGAAACTAAACGTCCTCCGCCTTTTGGCAACTAATTTCGCTAATTTCGAAAGTAGCTCGGGCGGCTGCTTTCGAGAGTCCACGTTATCTTTTCACAAGTATGTTAAAAACTATCATGTTGAAAACTACAACGTTTATTCAATTTAAAGAGGACCGTGTGTCATGAAAATGCTGGAACAAAAAATCGATTCCTACCATTTAGACAGTTAAATTCCTCACTATCTTTAATCAATAGCTTCGACATTCCATTCATGAGTAAAGGATATTTCAACACACGCTAGGTATAAATGAAGATCTGTGTTAAGTTCGACATTCCGTAACAATCAAATGTCATTGTCAAACCACTTTACCCGTAAATAAAAAAATAAAAGCGATAAAGCGCGTGCGCTGATTGGCCTATAGCAGCGTTTGCATTGCCCTGTGCAAACTCATCAATTAAATCAATCAGACAAGGAGAATTTGCAGATCAATCATCAGTATATTTTAGAGGAAAAATGTAAACGTGTTTTACACTTGTCTGTTTTGAATTATTGTTATTTTATAACAGAAATAAAAGATATTTTTCGTATTTGCACTGGCTTATGCAAATCACGGAGACGTTAGTAAGAACTCTATATGTGGAACAATCCTCGACCTTGGGTCTCGGGCTTGCACGGATCTGCTCTCGAGTTCTCTCAAAGGTCTCCTCGGTTTGCATACGCCGTTGCAAACACAGTGAACATCTTTTATTTCTTAACTGTTTTTACTCGTTTATTTATCATACGAAATAGAGGGCTTGTGTTTGTCAACAAGTTTGGATGAAAAATTTTCAAATAACATGTCCTAAAAGCAAGAGGGTGATACACGTCGTAAGAGCGATGCTAAAATAAAACACGAACATCTCGTGCTAATATTTTATAGAAACATGATTATCTTACATAATGTACAATGCAATCAATATTTTGTACTAGATTAAGCACCTGAATTGGCTTGATTAAATACGACTCGAGTTTACTTGAATGCTGTTGTTTCGGGTTTCTAGCATTCAAAAATTCTTCTAGAGCATCATTGGTGCCTAAATATTAAAAAAATCAAAATGGCAACTTTGTAGAGACAAGAAAGATATAAATGAATACAATACGTTATAATACATCTTGAAAATGAAACAAGACATGAGTGCATAAGAACTTAAGTTTCAAATCAAAACACTTCTGATGAAGGCCCTAGACTGGAGTATGCAAGACTCGAGTTTCAACAAATGATAACTCCTAATGAAGACAATAGACTGGAGTACCAAAGATTCAACAGCAGATAACTTCTGATGAAAACACTAGACAAGAGTATATAAGAACTCAAATTTCAACATTTGGTCATTCCTGATGAAGACACAAGACTAGAGCATATATAAGAACTCAAGTTTCAACATTTAGGCATTCCTGATGAAGACACTAGACTGGAGCATATAAGAACTTAAGTTTCAACATTTGGTCACTCCTGATAAAGACACTAGACTAGAGCATATAAGAACTCAAGTTTCAACATTTGGTCATTCCTGATGAAGACACTAGACTAGAGCATATAAGAACTCAAGTTTCAACATTTGGTCATTCCTGATGAAGACACTAGACTAGAGTATATAAGGACTCAAGTTTCATGAAATGCTGCAAAATCAGATCACTCCTGATAAAGACATTACATAGGAGTATTTAAGAACTCAAGTTTCAACATCAGATCACTCCTGATGAAGACACTAGACTAGAGTATGTCAGGACTCAACTTTCAAAATCAGGTAATTCCTGATGAACACAAAAATTCAAGTTTTAACATCAGATCACTCCTGATGAAGACGTAAGAATGAAAGGACAAAGTTTCAACATCAGATCACTCCTGATGAGACACATGACTCAAAAAGGACAAATGCAGGACTTACCTGGTTGTAACATGTGCATAATCCTAGAATGCGTTACACAAAATGAACTATACAGCTTGAACTTGTCGGCATATTGTAGAAATGCTTCACCGATGCCATAGATGACATTCTGCAGGCACAAGAAAGGAAACTAGTTTCAAAATTTACTTCCAAGTGCTTAACTTTCTTAACAAGGCAAATAATTGTCATCAATAAGGCATCGAATTTATTGATAGAATTGAAAAACATCATTTTCTGCATGTTTAAAACAAAAACAAATTGTGTACAGGTAACACATGTTCTATATACATGCATACATAACCGAAAGACTGCAAAAAGTTAAACCTTACACTACGAATTTCGATGACAACTATCAATTGTTATTGCTTACAGTGAAATGTGATTTTATAAAGAACTGAAACCATTCGAGTCTTTTTAAATTGTTTTGCGACGAAGTGAAATGGTGAAAAAAACTATGTGTCGTAAAATTTCATGTCATGCGTACACACTTTCAACAACGGACAAAGTTCCTTTGCATGTATTCACCTGAAAATCTTCGACATCGTTCATGTTGTTAAAATTTTCTTCACCATCGATCAGCTGCTGTATTTCGAAACAAAATTCACTTTGGAATTCGATAATCTCAGACGTATTTTCCGCCAAGGATGTGACCTGTGTTTACATAAAAAGAGTAGCTTTCAAATAAGCGAACGACAAAAACAAAAACGATGAAATAAGGAGCCGGAATGTAATAAGTGATCAACAAACTACACAGAAGACGAACGTTTTGGCCTAAAAATATTGAAAACATCGACAGAATCATCGCTGCAAAAGAAGAATAATTGTTTAGAGCTGTCAAAGTGTGTTAGCGGTATCGAACGAAGACTATAAATAGGAAAAATTGTAGGTAGCTGTCAAAGTAATGCAAGCGACAACCCGAAGATTAGGGTTAAGTACCAGGTCCAATTGCCACCTTTGCATTTACAGTAATTTAGGACATTCTAGTCTAAGGTAAGTCGATTTAAAGCAGATTTCGGGAAACAAAAATGAAATATACAGTTACGCACGCACCTCTTCATCGGGTAAAAATTTCTCGTGTTTTAAAGGCTCCAGATAACGTTTCAGCAGCGTTTGCACATCCTACAAAATGATTTGACGAAGAATTAGAATGCGTATGTTTTAATACGATACCCAGACACCGGGGGAAGGAGCAAAGAATCAACGGTTGGAAACCAAAAGGAATTTCAATCAAATTAAAACTAACAAAATGCCAACAAAAAAGCGCCATTTTATATCTGGTCAAATTTTTGTCTTCTTCGAAGTACCCCACCTCCCCCCCTACAACACGTACACGAAGGTGAAAAGTTATTTTCTTCAGGAAACATACCACACAATGCAGATGTGCTTTTCCCTCGTGAGCTGCATCGCCGAAAGGGGCTTTAATCCCGATAGACGTTTTGCTCGTAAAAACAATTTTTCTTCTCTCTCCGCGTGAAAAAAAGTTTGAACAGTAGTTTTCATACAAATATTCCTACCTTGAGGTAATTCTTCTCCGTCTGAACGAGCTCCAGAACGATTCTTCGCAATTTTTCGGCGTCCGAGAGATCAGTTTGCTTTTCCATTTCTCGTAGGAAATCGTGTTGTCGACAAAACGACGTCACCTCTTCAGCTGTCTGAGGCAAAAAAGACGAGGCATTCGTCAACATTTGCCAGACGATTGTGTGTTGATTTTAGGGAACTTTTCGTTATATTTCGATACAACGAACGCGATCCTTCATACATAAGTTAAAGTTATAACTAATCAAATGCTCTGATTTGAACTTGGTTAAAGATAGGAGTTGGACGAGGGCTGTGAATTCGATAAGGATTAGGAACTGCATTTCAAACAAACTTCACAAGATGTTAAAATCACACAAAATATGTGTGAACAGCATACAGTCGTTGCAATTTAAAGTTATCAAACAAGTTTCATCATTTACTAAAACAGCGAGTTACCGACATGATGACGAAGCAAGTCAACAAGCACCTCCAAACACTCACTCGCCCAACGTAGCTACGTACAAATACAATATCGTTACCTGTAACAACTCGCTCACTGAAGCACAGTCATTTTCGAAAGAAAACGAATCGCGAGAATACGTTCCTTTCATGTCGGAAAAATCGTCTGAAAGTAAACAAATGATAAACGCCGTTGATCTTAAAAGAAATCATTTCACAGGATTGGAAGCGTTAAAGAAATCATACCTAAATCTGGCGGAGGAACTATTAGTTCCGAAAGATCAAGATATTCTTTCGAGCTACGATTAAAAAAACAAAAAATTACAATGGACAACTAAGTGTTCTAAAACCAATACATAGTTAGGGTTGTGCTTAGACAACTGCACATTGACTGCATGCCACCTAAATACGCAAAAGAATACGAGTAGAACGGACCGCAAAATTTTTAAGAAAAATGCGGAAAAGCAACTTTTTCAGGAATAAGTTCTAAAGAGCCAAATCTGTCGAAGATAAGAACGAACCTAAGAGATCTTAGATACTTATTTACATCCATTAACCCCTCGCCTTTTTCTAACTAACAAAATACTATACGTTTTTATAGCGTAAATAAGAACGACATATATCGCCAAAAAATTAGTTTTTAACAATACGCTGTTGCTCTGTCATGTAATACCCTCAAATTTCACTTAAAGATTAATGTTTCTTCACCACAGATAAACGCTTTGATTCCAATATTCTAAAGAGACTTAAACATTACAGGTAGAAAAAGGCTATCCAGTACAAAAAACAAATTCATAGCACGATGCCAAAAAATTTGACAATTAACGTAAGTCTATCGAAGACAGTCGAAGACTCAAAACTCCCATTTGTAAGGTTTTCACAAGAATACCATTGCTCTCGGATAAGAAAATGACGGACAGTATACCGGCAAATCTTTTGCTTGGGACGGACATCATAATTAGCGCAAAAAGGCTGGGTCGAGAAACATGATTGGCTATAGGTCCAAATACCTCGTTCTCGGTGGTGGTGGGCAAACCAATGTACTAATAATGCTTTCCGTTGTTTTCTTTATTTGCTCGGGAACCTCTTCTCTCATTGAACGAAGTTTCAAAGAAATGAAGGGCTCTGCAACAATAAAAAGGCTTTTCGAGAATACCATTAAAGATCGTTGAATAAGGTTGGTCTGTCCTCTGTTCGATATTTTTATGTAAGGAACTCGTGGTTTGTCACAAAAGTATTACCATGTAAAAAAATCTACCAACTGTTATAAAGGCTTTGTCACCAAGAAATTCATTTACCTGTCAGAGAACTCTGCAAATCAATGATGTCTTCGTAGGCGTCTTTGATTTCAGCATTATTTACGGCCAAAATCTCGTCTCCTTCAAGTATTCCTATCAAAGATGGTAAACGGAAGAAATCACTATAAAATTATCACATATTCGAACTATAATTTAATGTAACTCGAGCTAGAACCAGTACTCCCACAATGAAATTTCTTAGTACCTTAGAAAATGGTTAAAAATTCCTCCAATTTCCATTAAATTCCTTAAATTTGTAAACATTACTACAAGGCCTGATCACATAGGCTCAAAAAGTGTTTTTTCAATGGTTTTTCTTCCTTTTTTGCTGTTTTCAAGTTTGTCAACGTTGTATTTGTAAAGAAACATTAAATATTATTAAGTGTATATTAATTTAAAGTATAAAAACATCCTTAAAACCTTTAGAAAATCCTATTTTTAAGGATAATTCATTAAAAGTGAGAGCACTGGCTAGAACCCAAGACATACTCAACTCCATAAAAAAACGACGGAATCCATAAGGATACACAACAAAAATGCACCTAAGATTTCTTTCTAATCTGTACTAGTGATTTCCGAGTACTAGTTTCATGGATGGGTGTGTGTGTGTGTGTGATGGAGGGTGGGGGGTGATACAGGGCAAAACTTTAAAAATGGAATTTATATTTCACACTAACTTATAAATTTTACATTGAAGGAGCACTATACAATCTTATTTCATAATATCTAATATTATTGGGAGGTTGGAAATACCCTCCTCCCCCACTGTCAATAACACGCTCATATCACACATCATTTCTCGATATGACAAAACATTGATGTTGTTAGTACTATCCACATAAGTAATCCAACCTTTTAATAAAAAACACATTTTCTTGCAGTAATGTGTATATTTATATCTGTTCGAAATACAAAAAGATGCTTCTCTCGTAAAATTTCGTACCGCTTAAATGACTTGTGCTTCCATCAAGGACGCGACTAGTTATAATGCGTTCGTCTTCGACTTTCACTGACAAACCTATGAAAGATGCACAAAAGAACACCTTAACATTCTATGGCAGTTAAAGGTTGATCAACATTTAAAAGCTACTGAACAACAGGGCCGTAGCTAGAACGCTAAATTGGGGGGGGGGACGGGGGGGGTATGATCATGTATTCAGTAGCGCCCAACTGATTTCTCTTGAAAGTGAGTTGGCTTTCAAAAGTAATCAGTCAGGTACAACTGAATTTATGAATACACCTCCCCAATTGGCGTTATAGCTACGGCCCTGCTGAAAAATTTCGCTGTGTTATCATCTTTATCATATTTGTATTACAAGACTACCATCTTTAAGTTAAATTCCATCTTCTTCATTTGTGTAAAAAACTATTCATAACAATACTTAAACTAAACCTCGCAACAGACCATGTTATTCAACATAATTGCTTTAACGCAAATATGTTCAGACTAAATGCTAGTTAAATTTTGAAAAGGTTACAACGCAAAAACCTTTCAATAAAAGTTAATTAACAAGACGGTTTAAGGAAATGCTCTATTCTACTGGTAGGAAAAAAACCCAACATACCGAAGTCCATGTCACAGCTCTCAATCGTCTGAGATAGCTGAACCGTAAACTCGCTTTTTTTGCAAAGTTTCAACACACTGAAATTCTGCAAAGAAATCGAATACATTACTCAGTCCCGTAAAATAAGAATGCATTGACTATCTCGGGAGCGAGGAGGATTAATTAGCAGCAGAGCCGCCGTGCAAAAAGAGAGCTTGTACTTACTTGGTCTTCAATAAACGCTTGCTCTTGAGGAGTGTAGTACTCTGTAAAGAAATAAAAATTACCAAAATCAAGCACAATTAAAATCACTGGTGTGTAGATGTTAAAACATCAAGATTTTCATCGCTTTCTGGGATAATGGCTTTGGTCCCTATCTCCCTATCATGTATTCAGTCCAGTCTACAGTATCTTCAGTAGGAGTGATATGATGTTAAAACTCGAGTCTTTATATACGTCAGTCTAATGCGGTCTAATGTCTTCATTGGCAGTGATGTTGAAATTTGAGTCCTTATATACTCCTGTCTAATGTCTTTATCAAAAGTGATCTGACGCTGTGCTAACGTTGAATATTGGGCCCTTAAAACTCCATTCAAATGTCTTCATTTAGGAGGCATCTGACAATGAAACTTGATTCCTTATGAACTCGAATTTATTTTTTCATCACGAGATCTGATGCTTAAATTCGAGTCTTCACAATTTAGACGACTACATACTTATCGCGACTAATAAAATCATTATATGATAAAATTCGAAGTTCAATCACAAATTCCTTGCCTATTTGAGAATCCTTCTCCATTCCAAACATGATGAAATACATCTCGGGATCCAACTGTCGCTTACTGGTCACAGCAATTACAGCATCTCTGAAAGTCATGTCTTCCTTCAGAGAAACGACCGTGCTTCCTTTACCAGGAAGTTCAACGCGTAGAAAATTTCCTATTTGGTTCCACTCTGCCATGTCCAAGACAATTGACGGGTCGTCTGGCCGGTCAGCATCGCTATTCTTTCGAGATAGTTTAGGAGAGTATTTTTCGCGAATCTTCGAACTTGTCGAAGGGTCCGTGATTTTTAATGAGGACAAAATTGCAGATTTCAGTCGACCATAACCCCCTAAAACAAAGAAATCTGATCAAAATGAAATGATCACGAGGAGCGAAAATACTTCCCTAGTGCACTACATGAAAAAAAACCCCATCGATTTAAATTTGAGCTAGAGTCAGTAATGGTAATGATAAATGGACAACAGATAACGAAAATTGTTATTTACACTACCTAAAATATGAAATAAGATGTGTGTCAATGTAGGTAGTGATGAATGAAAAACAGAACGAGAACAGTCTTTACTCTACCTAAAATATACACTAAGATAACGTGCGTCAGAGTAGGTAGTGATGAATGAACAACAAAGAACAAGAACAGTCTTTACACTATCTAAAATGTAAACTAAGATAAAGTGTGTCAGTGTAGGTAGTGATGAATGAACAATAAAGAACAGTGTTTACACTACCTAAGATATAAACTAAGATAACGTGCGTCAGTGTAGGTAGTGATGAATGAACAACAAAGAACGACAACAGTCTTTACACTATCTAAAATGTAAACTAAGATAACGTGTGTCAGTGTAGGTAGTGATGAATGAACAATAGAGAAGAACAGTGTTTACACTGAATAAAATATAAACTAAGATAACGTGTGCCAGTGTAAATAGTGATCAATGAACAAGCTGCATAAAACAAAGTTTTCAAAAATCAAAAATCTGTATTACCTGCAGTAGTTTTAGATCTTTTGATTCTATTCCCAGTCCCCAGATGTGAGTTTGTAATTGCGCGGCATGAAACAAGAGAGTGAAACGAGATGACAGAAAATACTCCAAGCCGTGACATATTCTGCTTAGTACTTTTTGATACTGATGTGAGGACATTTTGGGGATTTGGAGGTGCGCGTCCAGAGACCGCTGACAGGTAACACTGTAGTCGGTAGTAATCAAGGCTTAACTTCTCAAAATTCTGCTCCCATTTTGCGATCTGACAACATAAAGTGATAGTTTAACAAGTTAACTCGATACGCTAAAGGATGGTTCGTATATAACGTAATTGGTCATAATTCATTTTTTGTAACTTATGCCTTGACAAAATCAAATGACAAAATACATTAGTTGTAATTCGTAACTTTTGTAACTTATCCAAAAGATATCTCAAAATCATTCAAGCATTCTTATTTAACAAAAAACACAATACGAAATCATCCTGCATGGCTGCATCTATTCCCAAAATTCAAAACGTAGCTTTGTGCCTAATTTTCGAAACAATCAAATTATGTTCTATCGAAAGGTTAGCACTGTCCAAGCTTCGGGCAACCTGCCCCAACATTCCTCGAAGATTGATTAAAAAATATTCAAAAACCATTTGCCCAGTGACTCGCTGCCTGTAAACATTGTTTCTACTGTGCGTTGAGAAAGCAAACCTGTTCTGTAATGACTTGTTTATTCTTGGGATCAGTGACAACAGTCAACTGCAGCTCGGCCATCTTTTTGATCTTGCAATCCGACTCCATGCTTTCGTGAACCTTCTGCAGCCTCGAAATGAGAAGCGAACTGGTCTGTTCCTGGTTGCGCCTGCCGGAAAACTGCACAGCGGATGCTGAATGAATGCTGGAGATCCAGCCGTCAACTTCCGAGTGGCATGAACCCTAAATAACCATGAAGAAGGTACGCATCAATGAATGTTAGAACATAAAGCGAATGGTATCAACTCGAAAGTATCTAAACATGTTCGCATAAGTTGATCGCCGAGGTTGGTACTGACTGTTGACTTATCGAGGAGTCAATACCCTCAGTGGTGGACATTCAAGTGAAGATTCAATGTCAATACGACAATCAATACCAGCACAAACAGTCTGTCACAAGCTGTACTTACCCGAACGATCAATATCTATGAACATGCAAATGTCGCACCAATAAGCACGCAATTCGCCATTAACTTTTCGAAAAATCACGAAACAGTTTTACCAAAAAATAACACGAAATCGGCATCAACAGAAACGTGCAGCCATTAAAACGGCACAAAAACATCCCCTCGCGTTCGGTTCCATGTTCAACCCACGCGTACCTGAAAATAATAGGCGTCTCCATGTTTCGTACTAAGGCCAAAAACATTCTCAAGTTTCACGTGTTCTGGAATAGCTTGAACCAGACAGCCGCCAATCTTGACGACAACACTCGGACTGCGCATGTCTATAGCCCCCGCATCTTTCTCGTCACATTGACAAAGGTTCAGCTCCTCGTCCTTCAAGATCACCCAGTAGTTCTTCCACTTTCTGTTGTTGGCCTGTTCGACCCTTCCACCCCGACCACGTATCAAGAGATGCTTCATGGACAACCATCCAGATTTACGAAGACCGCCGGAAAAAATACTATCCGTCGTCTCACAGCGCACATTTTCATCGATTCTTGTATTTTCTTGATGCAACTAAACAAAACAACTTATGAAAGTTTGTTCGTCGCAGTGTTTTATTAAGGCATTTTCAGCCTCCGAATACTGCTGACGTATGGTAGTGGAGGAGTCTCACTAAGTGTGTGTGGTGGTGAGGGGGGGAGAGGTATTATTTATACTAAACAAATAAAAAATAGTGTCTCTCCTCCTCCCCATGCCAGCACCACTGCCAACAACATCACACAACTGACAAAACATTTAAAGATGCATATCAACTTTGGTGAAAAGAGTGTATTGATAATCTCTCTAAAACAGGTAAAAGTAAACAAGTTGTTCAGCAAACTCATGATGAGCTGAATTAATCATGGCTGGGATTGGTCTGAAATCCAAAAAGATGACGCTCCACTTCGACAAGTATGATGTTCAAAAACATCAAATCCTACCATATCCTATACTGAGATTGAACTCTTTTTGCAACTCCGCCTATTATCCATACATATGTGGGATTATTTCCCAACATCCCAGCAATAGAAAACGATTGTGGTGACACTTACAAAGTTGTTGCCTCGAGGACTGTGAAATACCTCCATTTCTCGGAAATAGCTTATCTCTGTGATACCCAAATCATCGCGGGCGCGTTCATGCATGTCCTCGTCGCCCACGCCACTATCGGTCCCAGTTTCCCCTTTACATCGACTTCGAGAGGACTTCCGCGGTAAACTATTGAAGAACGTCTCCCTATGAGGCATGTTGGGACTATAATTGGGAGATTGCGAAGAATAATCTTTTGAAATAGATTTATAATGAAGATCTTTCTGGTTGAGCGACGAGCTTGATGTAGATTTTCGGTTCAACGATTGGCTACTTATTCCGGAAGATATGTTCAGAGGCGAATCCTATGAAAGACAACAGCCATTACATGAGTTATTTATCGAATTTCAAACTTAATAATTGATCCTAAAATTGATGTTAGTGAATATGCCGTTAGAAAGGGTCGACAAACACAACAATCTTAAGCGTATTAGTTGATGATAATCTATAATGTCAAATTCAAAACATTTGCATGAAAGCCTCAAAGAGAATACGAATGATGCGACAAAAAAACAACAGTTTGTTCCCAAATCAACTCTACTAAAAATTTAAATGCAATTGTGCTATCATGATTATTGTAGCTTGGTTTGGGATAACTGTAGCGACTACTTAAAAAAATACACTTAAGAGTCTACAAAATCGAGCGGCTAGAGTAATCACTGACAAGACTTACGAAGTGCGATCTCAAGGGATTCTACAAGAATTAAACTGGCAGCCATTAAACCAGCGTTACAAACTGAATAAAATGAATTTTATATTATAAATGTAGTTTTAAGACTGTTCTCCTTCTCTGTTGTTCATTAATCATCATATACATTGACATACATCATTTTAGTTAATATTGCAGGAATGAAAAAACTGTTCTCGTTCTCTTTTGCTCATTTATCACAACCTGCACTGACGCACGTTATCTTAGTTTATATTTTAGGTAGTGTAAAGACTGTTCTCGTTCTCTGTTGTTCATTCATCACTACCTACACTGACACACGTGATAATAATTAGCATTTTCCGTAAAATTAAAGTTCTCAATCTTCGATGTATATTAATCACTATATAAATCGGCATGTTAGTTCATTGCTTTCTTTTCTCACATGAGCCACCAAATTGATATGCAAAACCGCTGTCATTCTCTGTTGTCCTTTCATCGCAACCTACAAGTTTTCTTAGCAACTCAAGACGTTAATACACCGTCCTCAACTCCTGGCGTTCTTAACTACAAACGAGCATTACACAGCTTACATCTTTCGTTGTTCAATAGATAAAATATAAATCTCGACACGTTAAGCATATTGAATTGATAAAATGACTGGAAAATGTTACATAAATAACCGTACACACTCGAAATGCGCAACAGGAGGCTAAAAACAGGTGAACTAACCATCATCAATCCTATAAAATATACTTACGCAAAACAGTGACAAGCTTTTCCCGATGGTGAAACGCCGAACTGCACGAATTTACGGTCTACTCCCCGCTAAATCACAACTGACGCTTACTGAAAGCTATACTTATTCTCGAATGATTGCTTTTGAAGAAAGCTACTTTGTCATTGCTAAATTTAACTACAATGTCCACTCGAGTGTAAATAAGATGCATAATAAACAGCAAAGCTAAATTCTCTGATGATTCGACGGCATTACAAACAAAGACAACGTGATGTGAATAAATCAGCATAGTGCAAACATCGACTGAAATTTCCATTACAAAACAACAATGGCCGTAATTAAAGTTTGTCTGAAAGAAAGACATCTCATGTCATGCTTGTCCTTCGGGACAAAAGATCGTTGCTAAATGTTACAAATATTGTCGAGGTTAATAACTGGCAACATATGATTTAGAGATGATGTGATTGGAGACATTTGTTCATTACAACGAGTATGTAATATGATCCTTTCAAAATAACAAGTTGCTTAAAGTAAGGTACTTGATTCGCCAACAAAAATGAAAATTTGCCTAGGTAAGATCTCCGTACTACGGTGGCTCACAAGGGCCACCACACAAAATAAAAATATTAATACACACACAAAATAAAAATACACACACAAAATACATTATACACCCACAAAATAAAAATACACACAATACATTATACACAAAATACACAAAATACATTGCACACATCATTATCAGTTTGTAATTGTGTAAAAAAATATACATATATAATTGTAAAATGTTTGTCAATATTACTGTATATGTTATTTGCGGTGTTGCAGTGCGTATTTTGATTATGGTTAATGTTTGTGTATAATTTGTCAATGTTGTATGGTGAATTTACTGTATGAAATGGTACCGTAAATTTTTATGTGTGTGTTTGGATGTGTGTATTTTGTGTGTACAGTAAGGTCAGTATTTTAAGAAGACAAGTTGATTTGTTAAAACGAAGTTGGAAAAAATCACGTGATGTAATAGCCAAGTGTGAATAGTCCTGAGACCTAAGATTTTGGGATAACTGACACATGTGTGAAGGTTCTACAATCACTATGGGGTGTAAGAATGCCATAAAACTGAAACATTTGGCTTCGGTTTTTGAAAAAATCACTTTCATACTAGCATTCACAGTGCCACAAAATGCCCATTTCGAGTGACATATACCCAGTTCGGCACAAGATGTTGAAAAAACGAAAAGTTCCAAAATTTGCCACTCTTTACTATCCCAATCTTCACTAGGTGTTTGCAAAACACCACATTAAAACTACAACATGGCGTCTTCAAAAGCGTGAAATTTGAATTACAAACAAAGTTTTGTCAGTAATTAAGAATTCACGAATTTCTGGTTATTGACAAGCAAGTTGTCACACGAAAAAGTTTACGAAATTGAATTTGCGAATAATAATTTTGAATTTTCTACGGCAGACTGAGGTGAGGAAGCTGGCCTCTAAGACTTTTTCTTAGTGAGGAACCATATTGCAAACAAAAAGTATTATATATGCCCTTGTAATAATAAATCACTGACCTCACAAAAAGAAAGGAACTCCAGTGCCTCTTGTTCCGACAAGAAATTCAAAGCCCAAACTTTTCCTGCAAAGAAAAATATTCCAAAATTAGAATCGGTCTTACATTCGCGCAAGAGTCGAACGCTGTCCATAGGTTTCCACCCAATTACATACACACTAACGCCATAACTACTCTTCTCATTCAGGACATAAACACACACCCCCCCCCGATTAAGTATCATACTTCTCCTGACCTGCCTGCGCCTGTTTAGATGTTAGATTGTAGCAAAACCACTCGTCGGATTATTTTAGTCAGAGTTGCAATAGAGCGGCGGGTGGACGGGTACCACCCACGAGGAAGGTTTTCCTAGGCCTTGAGTGATGTTTGTGAAAGCGATTCAAGATTGAACACTCCAAACAATAACATGCATGTAACAAAGCCACAGCATAATGATCAATAGTGACAACCTACTACGATTAAAAAAATGCGCGTGGAATGGACCGAGTACGGTCATCGTTGTCCCAAAGCGGGAACTTTATATAAGAAAACAAACACGACCACGGACTACGGTGGTCTTACTTTTGTAGCTCTCACTTGTTTTTATTCATTTTCATTTAGAAAAATTTAAACATTTAATATAGTGTATTTTATGTCAAACGATTTGTTAAGTAACGACATTTCAAGTAAACACATATTTTAAGTAAACAAACATTGTTTCCAAAGTAAGTCAGCTATATTATAATTCTACATACCAAGAAAATATATGTGAACTCAAGTTAAGCAGCTAAAAATCATTGTATATTAGTTTGCGTATATAAGTAGTACATCTGTAAAACTTTGAATTGACTCACCCCATAAAACTATGAAATTCTCTCATGCACTCGTACTCAACACAAGAAACCGCCGCTTAAGTGATCGTAGTGAGGTTTGCTACGGTGACAACGCAACGCTTCAGTCTCTCGATCCATTCCACGCGCATTTTTTAACCGTAGTAAGTTGTCCGTAGTAATTTTCTTAAAGTCACTAGTATACAGAAGGGTCACTCCAGTGTGCAACGCGTCCTCCGTTCTCACATCCGCCATTATTTCAGTAAGTTGAGGTTTGTAGAAATTATATGTACAAGATAATGAGATGCGTTTCATGGACGTTTTTGTTGCCGATAAGATTTTTTTGAAAAGAAGAACTTCAAATATATTTTGTTGCCGCCGTGCATATTATCATATAAAAGAACAAACTTTCAAGTATTGAAATGAAATGCAGCATTAACGATGGTAAAAACTATAAATTCATCAACGGAAAACTACTTTTTTGCATGTAATGATGTGACGCCATTTCTAAGTAATGAATTGAAGTACATTTAGACTTACGACTAAATGACTACAGACCATTTTAATGGATTAGAGACACGTGAAAAACCGTGGCTGGAGATATGGCGGCCGATACGAGTGACCCTTTTGTTCCAACACGAGTCACCATTATATATATTCTTATTCTTCTGTGCCAAAGCTACATGATTCACGCATTCCTATCTGAAGGAAGGTTGAACTCTTTTTGCACCTCTGCTATTACTCGAGAAGATTTCAAAAGCTCGTTTTTTAAAAGCAGTTAAGTGGCACTCTTTTGCGGAAGAGTACCAACTGCTATCCCCCCCTCCATTTTAAATCAGACGCTTCACGTATTATCGGGCCCTAGGTAACTTAGTTTGAAACGTCCAAACACTGTTTCTCGTTGCTCTTAGTGTTCACAAAAAAACATGAACAGAAAACAATTTTACATTCATTTATGCAAGATAAAAAAATTCTTTCATGAACTCTTGAAGATTTGTCTGACCTCAATATTACTAACCAACGCCCATGTAAAATGCAAATCAAACGGAGATGCAAGTCTTTTAATAAGAACGAACTTCCATGTAAGGAAGGTACCTCAGGGGAGAGGGGGCTGTTCAACCCTCAGGGGAAGGGGGTTGGTCAAAGCGAAGTTAACTCAGGATTAGATGAATCCATCTGTAAACAACCTATCTAAGTCCCTCTCCCTGCTGAGAGCTGACGTGTAATCGTTTGGAAAATGTAAATACTGACCACTTTGAATATCCTTCCATTGTACATAACACTCCGAGCATTTCTTCAATTGGCTTTCTACGAACACGTAAATGACACAAGAAGAACATTTAAAGAATGTTTGTCAACCAAGATGCATTGCGCGTTAATCACAGCACCATAGACAGCGTGATCAGGACGGAAATATTGTGTGTCGAGAAAATGGCGAATTTGTTAGTGTAGTCCATGCAACTTAGACAAACGATAATAATTAATATAAAATAGAGTTTTTACTTAATGTTTTTTGGCCAAATTTTCATATAAATTAGACAACGTAGTGACGAAATTGAGTTCAGTGTGCCACAAACTCAAAAACTAGCGATGTAAACATAAAAAAAGCACGCAATGAATCTTGGTCGACACACATTCTTTAACGCTCAATAGACAAAGCTGTTGAAACTAGTTCAGGGAAAATGGAAACAGTATGTTATGATTGGTACAACTCAAGCGGGCATTATTTTATACACATAAAAATCACATAAAATTTGTGTCATCGCTTAAATTATATTTTCATGCTGTGTACGAAAGATCGGGGATTCATGCATTTCGTATTTATACAGGGGAGAACTTCCTTTTTTAGTGGTTTTCATATAAAACAAGGTATGCACTTAAAGACATACTTCAAAAAAAGCTTTCCGTGAGAGAACTGGAAACGAATTCGTAAAAGTCTTAAAGAAATTAATTCGGAAATTACTTACGAATGTGACTCGCGGAGATTTCAACAACTTATACTAACAGAGTCACAGACAAAAGTAACGGCTGAAAATCACTACAATCATATAAGCATGCAGAAAATTGCCATCGCAGATGTACTCTTCAGCAGTTCAGTATATTTGGCAACAGAATTGCCGATGTTTGCAAAGATAAGCTTTTTCAAAAGCGTTTGCCGTTCGTCCGAAGTCCTTAAAGTTGTTGACGACACAGCCACACATTTTGTTTACTGCGTAGTGTGTTCATAAAAGATTTGCTCGCATGAACCAAACTTAAACATAAAAACAGCCGAAGATCGATTATTGGGGGGTAGGAGGGTAGTATTCATACACGAGTTTTTTGGAAATCTATTGTGTTCTAATTTCTACAGATGCAAACATGAATATGATCATAATGAGTCCTCCCAACAATCGATCCTCCGCGGTCCAACGTACGGCAGCATAAATACGTTTAATGATTACCGTTGGTTCCAAAGCTCTTGTCACTCTAATAAACAAACTCTAATTTGCATCATATTTCAATTTCGTGATTTTTAATTATTTCATTAACATCGGCCTCGTTTTGTACAAACTTCTGCTTATTGATATTTACAAACTTATCGCTGGCTTGGAATGCTTCACACAACAGTATTACGAAGAATTGCGTGATTTGAAAGATTTCTCAAGAATGCACACGTATTTGACGTGACGGGAAGGAGGTTGCTGTTTTCCGCGAATGTTTGAAGTGTTTTGACACGAAAACTTCCATCCTTTAGGATTTTGATGTTCGTTGAATGCTCGCAAGTAATTTCCGAAGACTTTACGAATTCCTTTCCAGTTCCCTAATGGAAACCTTATTTGAAATATACCTTCTAGTGAGTATCTCATTTACAAGACACCTATCGGTGTTTACTGGGGGACGCTCGGGCCTGAATCTTTGCATGAAAAATATTTGCGCATGGTATTGCTCAATAAAGCTCTGAAATACATTCACAATAAAGTATTCTATTTTTCATAAGAAAATGTGAAAACATCAAGACCACCAGTGGCGAGGCAAGACGGCGAGTTTACTCGTTCTATGTAATAAAAAATGGTGTTTCACTAAAGAAATGAACACTGCTGTTCTGAAGTTTACCTATAGGAAGACCAAGCTAGCAGGCTGGCTATACGCCACTGATGACTATACACGCACAATGCCGCACATGCCATAACACGACTTGTGTATAAATATCAGCAGCATTGCAGAGTCAGAAGTACTCTTTAGTCAAGTTAGGCGTAACATAAAGCGAGCAAGAGACACCACTTTGGAAATACGACAATGTCAATACAGCAAACACTTGCATTCGTCACTAAAACTCTATCGAAACTTAGAGCAACGTGAGTCTAAGTCATAATCCAAATATCTCGTAAACAATTCGCTCGACCGGGGAAAAATTCAACTGAAAATTTTGAAAAATGTACACATACCGGGTATAAGAATTTGTAGATCCAACGATGTTTCTTCACGACCATCTGCTTTAAGACAGATCACCGTGTTTCCTCGACTACTGTCCTGTAATGTTAAAATAAAGTATCATGCTGCAAGTCAGATTAAGATTGTTATCAGATTGTGATCTGATGCTTAATACACCACAGGTTCCATAATTTCTTAGAAGCACTATTGCTAATGCGCATTTAATATATAAGAGTTTTTTTAAAATAGACATGTTTCGACATCTCATGATGCCATTTATTTATTTCACTTATACTGAAGATGGCATCAGGAGATGTCGAAAAATGTCTATTTTAAAAAAACTTGTCGTATATATTAAATGCACATCACAGGTTAGTATCTTCATCTGGGATAATTTCATGATGAAACTTTCCTTATAAACTCCAGTCTTGTGTCTTCATCGGGAGTGATCCAATGTTGAAACTTCAGTCTTATATATTCTAGTCTAGTATTTTCATCAGAAGTGATCTAATGTTGAAACTTCAGTCTTATATATTCTAGTCTAGTGTCTTCATCAGTTGATCTGAAGTTGAAATAATTCCTTTTATACTCTAGTCTGGTGACTTCATTGGGAGTGGTCTGAAAGTTAAAACCAAGTTCTTATATGCTTAACAAACAGTCCAGTGTTTTAATCAGGATTGATCTGTTGTTAAATTTGAGTCCTTATATAATCCAGTCAATGTAGAGCCCTCATCAGCAGTGAACTGATGTTTAAGACATAAATTTTTATACACTCCAGTTTGGGTGTCTTCATCACGAATAATCTGAAGTTGAAACTTTAGCCCTTATACGTATACTCCAGTCCAGCATCTTTATCAGGAATGATCATATGTTCAAACCTGAGTCCTTAAAAAAAATTCTAGTCTTGTGTCCTCACCAAAAATGATCTGATTTTTAGATTTAAATCCTCAACACCCTTAAGCTATCTTAAAAGGAAACTAAATGAAATTCAAAGAATGAAAAATCTACCTGAGCGTAAGATGCATGAATAGGTACAAGATGATCAATCAATGGAATCAACTTTGCTTCTTTCTCGAGCGTACAAAGCACATTCACTTCGGCCAGAATCCTTAAAACAGAATGTCGGCACTAAAAATCCATTTACAAATACAAATTGTGGCAAATCACAAGATTTTCAAGCTAAAACCTAAAGTATTTACGAATAGTCTATACGACAGAACAAACGACTTCAGCACTGTACGCCGCTACTAGCATGCATGTTGACATGCTACGGTATCAAAAGCACTATAGAGTATTAATTTTAACTAAAACAAGTTAAGTTACATTAACAATGCAAAATTGTCGGTCCGGAGGATAGAAAATTACAAAACCGTAGCAAAGCCGCAGATCCTAATGATAATATACCTGCTATTATTGCAGCATTAAACCCGCTGCCAATACTTTTGCAACAAAAATAATGAAACTGACATTGCAGTAGAGCGATGCAAATCGTCTATACCTTTCAAACTGTTTCCAAAGAACCCAGAAAACTCGCCAGGGAGTTTTATAAACGCACAAAAAAAAACCAGCCGATGTTTACATAAATTTTTACCGAGTTACATCATCGACACACACGCCGCATTGAGATCACATATTTTTATTTTTAATTATCTTCAACGAAACACCTGCTAAATAAGCAAAATGAGTCATATGTACAAAATACATTCAGCCAATGGTGGCCGACGTAGATTCTTTCAACGTGCGGGTCACTAATCGTGAAAAGGAATACTATTTGATGGCGGACTCTTCAAACACCGCACTTGCCTTAACTTAGTTGGTTTTATGAGACAAAAAAATGTTTGATGAAGAAGCTTTGCGTAAAGGTTGAGGCAGAGTACATCAGAAGCCTGGGTTCGCCATTCTTGAAGAGAGAATTGTCGTCGCTAACATTCACCGATTAAGTTGACGATACAAGACGGGTAAATTGAAAAACGACCGACGCTTGTCCTTTACGTTGTTCACCAAAGGGGATTTTTTGCATGAGTAAAGAGGCCATGCTGTAACAATTGTGAATATTCGAGAGAATTTAGGCGGATTAACCCATGCTTTAAGAACTTGAATGTCGTCATTCCTTTCTGATACGCATCCGCTAGCAGATATATACAACCACGATAGACTATTACGCCATGAGCATGATAAAAACAGCTACGCACTACGTCACTTGGACGATCGTTAAAATAAAAATGATCGAAGTGTATGAGAAACAAAATGAATTACAATGAATTAAAACTTGACATGACATCTGCCAGTTTGATTAATCAATCTACTTAAAACGATTCCATTTGAAAAAGCAAATTTCTTCGGCATCATTTAAAAATCGACAAAATACATGCAATTTGTGCACCCTAGCTTTTTTGATTGGTTCTGTATGACTATTTTTAAGTAACGAAAGGTTATTTGAGGCAACAAAGTTGCCTTTCAAATGTTAATTCGCCAATAAATTACCTAATATATTCCGATAATCCTATGATTTAATCTGAATTATAAAAAAAAAAGACAAAGAAACGCGTGCGCTGATTGTTCTAGAGCTGTGTTTACATTAGCCTGTACCGAAGGATCTAAGCCCGACCAATCAAATCAATCATTCAATCATTCAATCAATCAATCAATCAGTCGAATAGACTTTGAAAATCAACCATTACTACACGTTAGAAGAATATTAAAACGTTTTGTTTGTTTCGCATTATTGTTATTTTATAAAAGAAATAAAAGATGTTTTGCAGTGGCTTATGCATATCTTGGAGATGTTTGTGAGAATTCTCGAGCAGAATTCTCCAGAAAGATCTCCTCGGTTTGCATAAGCCTGTCCAAGCACAGTAAACATCTTTTATTTCTTAGTTAGACATTCATAATATTTCGGTGTTCGCTCTGTAAAACATCAGATTTCCAATCACAGGGATTTCATTATTTTCGAAAATTGCAGGCACGTCGAGGAAAATGGGAGGAACAGCCCGGGCAGAGCTCGTAGCACCATCTATTAGTTGGGGAAGTGCATCAACTTATAGAAGTAAAAATAATACATGAGACAATGTATCCAACAAATGCGTTGAAGAAACGGGTATTCTACGACTAAATACAATCGTTTTCATCCTTCTGCTGTCTGTCAATACTTTTGATGAATAAGTTCTTTAATTCTTTGTTTTCAGTCCCTTAATACTATAGAACATGTAACGTGTACAAACATAAAGTTTCATATATAATTCATTTTGTTTTAGAGAGAATTCTGACTATGACAATTACCGAATTTCTATCATTTTATCAATATAACTTTTATATATAAGCTTTCGTATCCATTGACGTGTTTTTAAGTGAACAGGTAATTTTTATAAGGGGCTACTTTTTTGTTGGCTCCCTCCCCCTTTTTGTTTTCCGGAGAAGTCGGTGAAATATGCCAATATAATTATTGGTGATATTTTTCGACAAAAGGATCGACGCTATTTGGAAGGCAACATAGTTAGCAATAATCACACCAGGTTTTCTGAGTAAATGCCCATTGCTATGTAATATTCTGTCGAACACAGTCAAGCAATTGGATTGACATCAATTTTCAAAGACTATACGCAACATAAGGCAGATCAAACGAGCTTATGCTTTAGACATTTAACGGAGTTGGCATAGACCCAGATAGTACTTTTGCAAGAGAATAGTAAATCGTCGGATGGGCTCGATATTTAAACAGAGGATTAGGTGGGATTTACGTCGTAAATAGACCTGACAAATTTGCAGAAGTCCTGGCTGACTTTCGCTCGCCACACTCCACGGCATTAAGTGGCATCATCTTTGCGATGTAATCCCATTGAACTAAAATGGAATGCTACCTGTAATACAAAACTCTAATAATATTTTGAAGCCAAATTTTACATACAGACACGCGTGTGTAGTCAATCAATTTTCACAATCTCAAACCACTAAACACTTGTATCTGGGTGTAATCTTGCGTGTCTGGGTGTAAGATTTGGCTTTAATTATTTGCTTAAGGTAGCGTTCCATGTATTTTAGTTCAATGTGTGATCTACAACGTCGAACGACGGCATCAAGCGAAACTATCCGTAGCATCATAGAATACCATCCAAATGACATCATCCACGAAATCAAGTGACATCATCCACGACATTATTTACAACATCAAGTGACATTATTTACAACATGAAGTAACATCATTTACAACAAAAGGTGAAATCATTTAAGTGACATCATCTACGATCCTAATAACGCTTGTTGACATAAAAGAGAGGAAGCCGAAAATGTTCTCAAAAGATTTAAAGGTGCAAACCAAAAAGATGTACTGTTTGATTTGCATTTCTTCTGCTTTTCAACTTTCTTTTGTTTAAGTCTGGTTCTTTGATCAAAGCCATACGCGCATTCTCTTTCGTTTCGTATTGACTGCATTGAATTACATAAAGTCTTATAAGGTTTTTGTATAGCTCAATGATCGACTGTTCTTGCGTGAAAACCGCTAAAACGTCTTTCTACCTTCAATTTTACCGTCACAATGGCGTACAACTTGGGACTAAAGATGATTTAAAAATGCCTGGGCATTCTTCGTGGGACAATATCGTCACGGTTAGTATAGTCCTGAGAAGGACTGTTGGTGTTCTCAGGACTCTACTAACCTGGACGATCTACATCCACAAACATGTATTGTTTCGGCAATCTTATGCCATCGTCAGTGCGAACGAATTAAATGAGCTATGTCACATAAATGTCGTAAACTATACATGAAATTCGATAAGTTATTTACAGACAATAGAGATAAGGGCAGAGTTACAATTATTTACAAGTAATTAATATGTGATTTATGCAATTTAGGTAAACCATGAAATCTAGCGGGTTGTGAACCAGTCAACCGATCCAATATACTTGCCACTTTCGAAAGCATCCATTGGTCCCTCTCAAAGAAAAACTACGCAATAAAGAAGATCATCTAAAGAATGAATTAGCTCACATGGCACAAAGTTACATCTCATCATACCAACGAATTCCTTCAGATCTGAAGAAACATCACGTGCTTTTAGGACTACGGAACAACAATGACGTAATGCTTCTTAAACCGAATAAAGGTAATGGAATAGTAATAATGGACAAACAAATTTATAAGAGCGCCCGCTACTTAATTATTAATGATACCACAAAATTCAAACCTTTAAGTAACGATGTTACATTGCTAAGAGAATGGAAGCTTCAGAGATTTTTACTTAAGTAAACGTAAACAACAAGGCTTGACCCTGACAAATTCTCTTCCACTTTTAAAATTAAAGAAGCCTTGCATATGAATAAGCTCAAACCTGAACTCAATAAGCAGGTTCACATTGTTAACACCTTTCTTAGTTTGTAAATGTATATTCTATTCAATGTTCTGTCGCTTCACGTATCATCCGCTTTTGACATATGAATTACTTTTAAATAATTGTAACTCTACACTTATCTCTATTGTCTGTAAATAACTTATCAAAGTTCATATATAGTATACAACATTTATGGAACAAAGCTCATTTAATTTGTTCACACTGACGATGGCATAAGATTGCCGAAACGAGTTTGCAATAAAAAAGTTTGTTTTATACATTCAGTTGACAATATAATTCTACTTTAAGAAAAATGTCCCTGAAGAGCTGGAACGCCGTTTTTGAGGCAATTTTACAAGCTCAATCCTGTGGCAAGATTTTTTCAAGTAGCAAAACCCTCCACTACTGCTAGACCATTATCTTGAAAGTGATATAGGAGAGGAGGGATTGCCACACCTTGCCTCCTCCCCCCTTGCCGACACCCAAACAGTTTTACTAGTAATTAAAAAATGATGTAAAAAGTCTTCAAAAGCAGTCTGCTGTAAGTCTCATTTCTCTGACTGCAACTCCTGTTAAACTTAAGACAGAAAAGCAAGACAACCTTAGATATAGAATGTCAAACAGCACATGTGTGTAAACATATGGCAACATAGGTTGGCATTAATTAAAGATAAATGTATTTAATAGGATTCTGCACATAAGCAAAATGAAATTTGCACAATAGAAATTATTAATCATTAATATCATCATGGTCTGACACATGGGATAGGGGGACTGGTACACCGGCCAAGTATTTTTCAAATATGCTATATATTAGTTAGTCATTATGTTTGAGTCATTTAGACTTGCGCTAATTAAATAAACTATCTTTTAAGCCCTCTTTATCAAAATTTCAAACTACTACTTGACTCATTTTGCTGTTCGCAATATTTCATCAAGTGTCCACATCTGACCAGCATAGAAAGACAAAGTTTCACTCTTAAGACACTGGAGCAAAAAAGGTCAGGTCAGGGGTGGTAAATGTCACACAGTCGTACCTTATAAATGGTAAAAATCCTCATTTTCATCTATTTAGCAACAACAAAGCTTTGATTTTTTTGATGAGAAGGAAAAAGGTTTGAACAATTTTTTTGGTTTGTCTGGTATAAGTGATTTGACCCTCCAGCATGACATAGGAGACATTGCTCCTAATTCATAAAGCATTATAAACAAAAATTTTTCCTTTTGAGCAAAATGTGTATTCTGTTGTGCTAATTTTTTTCCCACTGAACACAAACCTTAATTCTGCAATGATTCCTAGATGGGACGGCTCCCAAGAATTGTCCAAATTCTTGTCAATCTGGTTCAAGTCTTGGGAGCCACAATGGACATTGACATCATCCTCCTGGCTGCCTTGCTTCTGAACCTTAAGCCACTTCACTTTGATGTCGAGGTATTCTCGACTTGATCTTGAAGTTGAGAAGACACTTTACTGTGACCTTCAAATTGAAAGAACAAACAATTAAAAAATTGAACTACTCTGAAATAAATAACATAATAGCTAAAATATTATCAAAAGGCACAGTTTGGAATAAGGTTTAATGAGTTTAAAGTACGTTCAATAAAATCAATCATCTTCAGCTAGACGCCCTTAATTAAGCCCTTATAAAATAGACACATAACAGATGCTATTATTCCTTAACACACAAGTTTAACTCTTGGCTTGTATTGAACGCGCTTTACAACTGTACTCACATCAACCATGAAAGTTCAAAGGAATATGGTCTTCAAAGAGCAAAATAAAGCTTTGAAATGACTTCAAAATCCTTTTATCGCGATTATGCAAGCCGTAATTAGTAACACTTGTAGTGTTGGAGCAAACCATGCCGCCGCGTGCATCTTCAACCGAGATTTGCCAAACAATGCTTTTAAAATACACAACCAAACGCTCGCATTGCATTGTTCATAAATTTTTCAACTTACTTGTCGGAGATTACAGCAGCACCAAACACAAATAATCATAAAATGGAAAAATATATTGTTGCTAATTACACACGACACCTAACAAAAACATGACTGTAAAAAACCAGGCGTTGACGCGTCCTCTCGGACATTGTCCCCCCGTCTTAAGTTCCACTTGCGTTGATGATGTACTAAAAAAGCAGTTTGTTGGTGCAGCTTTAGCTTGGAAGCAAACCCTCTAGTACGATATATAATGAATTGGAGCCACACTATGATCACTATCCACTCAATTCGGAATGTCCCGCAGCGGCAGTTTGCACTAGGGTAAGAGGCTGTAATAAGAGACGTCTAGCGACCACAAATCTCTTCACTTAAGCCAGTGACGTACAAGCGCCAAAACTATATACATGCTGCTGTTTGAAGTCCATATGAATATCCACCGCCACAAATTTTCGAGGCTGCGCATAAAGCAAGGTTAAAATTGAGAAACCAGTAGCGGCGTGGGATAGAGAAGGTACCTAGCGAGCAGTAAATAGGAGCATAAATAAGTGACAAAGTGTGAGCAAGCTAGTCATTATTCAAATTAACTGTCTACAGTGTCTCTCTTCAGTATCTTATACAACAGTCTCATCAAAATTTATTCTGGGTGGCAAGCATGTGATGGTCAGGTGCAGAATATGAGTTATCACCAAACCAGTACCCGCACCCCAATGACCTAGAACACATTCTACCAGATATCCGATTCCGCCAAAATGCTATAGGTTACTAGCAAGGCAAGCCGCCATCTTCAAAGGTGGCAAAACGGATGATATCTACGACTAATATCTGCTTTTACTGAGTCGATATAAAGTTGGAAAGTTGAGAGTCTAGGTTTAATTCTTGAAATGTTCGATAGGATGGGTTTTTTAAAATTTGTTTTAACTTAAATTCCATTTCCAATTTTGCTTTTTGCCACCTTTGAAGATGGTGTCCTTGACTCACCTTGACACAATACTTAGATAGTTATTTATTAAAAACGTTGCATGTGTTGTCACACTGCCCGTACCAAAGGGTAAGTTTGCATGGTGACAATACATGTCAATCGGGGATAAGTACTCACTGATACAAGCCACACCCGGACTTCGTAGCACATTAATTAACTAGGCCAAGTAAATTTCTACCTGAAAAGACTTAATGTAATGTATAAGAGGACAGGTTTTACATGGATGGGAATAATATGGTAAACAACTGAACCTTAGGCTACGTGCAAACGCTTTCAACATGTTGTCACAACATGCGCTCTACATTGTAGACGCAACAAGTTTAGCATTTTCACAACCTATCGAAGAGTGTCAGTGGCATGGACTTGAACGCAGTTGAGAAAAGTTTGAGCTTGCTCAAACTTTCCACTCAATAGCCATCAACATTTTCTTTGTTCCGCGGTCACCATAGCCAAATTGTTTAATGCGTTTGAACAGCAAAGTTAATATTGAACGAAAGCTTGCACACTGTGTATCGTATATTATCGTAATTTAGCTGGTCACTGAACTGTATATGTAGCTGTATATACGCAGTTGCTAGGCGTCGTGGAATGTTTATCACATGATCCTACGAGTTATCATTTTAAGTCAACTCTCAACATCACTAGACAAATGCAAACAATGTTGAGCACATGTTGAGTAAACATACGTTTGCACGTAGCTTTCCGTCAAACAAACTATATTGAGCTAAATGGTTTTTTTTATCTGCACTGTTGTTCATTTCAACATGTGAAGTCTTTGATCTCAAACGTGTCCTTTTAGGCATGCTTTCTAACGACTGTTTACTATTTCCATGGTTACATAGATACGCACTACATCAGCCAAAGTCAACGGAATGAGGCTTACAGTACTTTGCCATAAAATTAGTGTTCTAGCTATGGCCCTGTTCTCGAATGCAATGTCATACGCACCTGCGCCAATATAATTAAGCAAAGTATGTAAATATGATCATGCTCTCAGTCCTCCCACTCCTCAATTAACGAACTGGCTACTGCACTGGGAAAAAGATTGAAGTTGTGATACGTAATAATAAATTACCTACAAAAAAATTTTCTAATGTTGGGGTTAAGTTATCATTTTGTGATCGTTCGTATTGCATCAACATAGTTTAGACAAAAATGGAATTTTAATCCTTTTGACTCAGAAAGATGACTGACGTCATCAAATCTTTTTATTGCAACTTTCTTTTATTCGTTTGCCATTAGTGCGACATGAAAAATTTTGAAAACTATCCATCAAATGAATTAATTAATTTTTCAACAAAAACTATTCAATTCTGCAATTAATGACGTTCAACAACCTTCGTTCTCCCTACGATTATGAAACGAAGCAATATGACAGATAAATAGCCGTGATCGACCTTCACCCAAAAATATGAAATCTCATCGCGAATCACACTATATGATAAAGATTAATCGTCAATATAGCCTCAACGATAGCGTTGCTATAATAATACTTTAATCTACAAAAACAACTGGCAATTATATTGCTTTGATTTCTTTTCAGTTTAACTCAGAAGGTTTTGATAATATAAGGTGTAGATAATACAAGACATAAAAAAGAAAAAACGAATACACGCTTATAAATACTCAATGTTGTTTTGCATATCAATTAAACTGCCAAAAAATGATGTCACACCGAAGAAGGGAGAAACTATTCGATGACTGGCGAATAAGGATCTACTGATTTCGGAAAATTTGCAATACAGGTTGTAGGTTTGTTCAATGTATAATTAAATAAAAATCTAAATACATATAGTCCTCTCATATCTTGTTGGACACCTCATAAAAGGCTGATCACGTCATGTCAAGCCAAAATGAATCTGGAAGATATTAATTTCCTGTCAATAACGATCGTCAATGTTGTATTTTTATTTCTTGGCATCATTCTGAACTCGCTTGTGACTGTCGTGTTTTGGCGCAACACATAATTACGAAAGAAACTGTCTTATTTCATGATCATGGTGCTATCGTGTTGCGACCTGTTGTCGGTTGTCGTCAATCATCCTTTAAATGCGATTTTATCCGCATACTTAATAAGCAAGGAGTTTAAAATAAGACCACATTGGGTGTCGATGACACTCGAAGCCACATCTTTTTTTCACTTGACGTCCATTCTCGCTCTATTAGTCATGAACATCGATAGATATATGGCTATATTCCATCCATTATACCACAAGACAAAGATCACAAAAGGAAAACTACTGAAACTTCTGGGAATAATGCTTCTGGTGAACTTTGTTACGTCGACAATGAGCATTAACGAGCTGGTTACTCAATGGAAGCATACAGTGTACTTGCCAGTCTTTTCTTCATGACTCCATTGCTCTTCATTAATATCAAACTATTTAAAATCTCCCGAAAAAGTGTCGGGACTATTTCTACAGATCATAAAAAAACAAGAGTGAATTCGTCACAGCACATATCGAGCTGTCTGCTGGCATTCGCCTGTCTCATGTCTTTTTACGTTCTAACACTTGTGCTGGGATTTTCTGCAGCTCTGGTTCCACAAACAAAAGTAACATTTGATAAATTTATGTTACTTTGGCTGAAAACAATTGTGACGTTGAATTCTACATTCAACTGTTTGATTTTCTTCTGGAAAAACAAACTTTTACGAACAGAGGAAATGAAATTCATCAATACAATGAAATGAGATAACGCATCGTGACTGTAAAGTAAAACTACCTGAATATATAGAGATATATACGTAGATAGGCAGATAGAGCGTTTATAATGAATCAGTAATTACAGTCTTGTGACTGAATTACTATTCAATCTACAGAATTGTAACAACTATTGATGTAAATATTAACACTATACGGAATAAAGTAAATGGTTTGAACCCGGGAGTATCGTTATATGTTTGTAAATGATGATCGTCCAGGTTAATAAAGTCCTGAGAAGGACTGTTTTTGTTGTTGTTGACTGACGTTTCGACAACCTTAGCGGTAGTCATCTTCAGAGTCAAATGAGGAGTAAACGTCAGGTTAGCCGTATTTGTTATCTGGTTCTTACGTCATTGTATTGTGTGTACAGGAAATGTGTATTGTCATTGTGGATTAGTGTGAAGTGAAATGTTTTATTTTTAGTTGTGATGTGTGATTTAGGTGTGACGTTTTTAGTTGTAATGTGTGGGTGTCAATTGTGTATTGTCATTGTGAATTAGTTGAAGTGTAATGTTTTTAGTTGATCGTTTGTTTGTATTGTGAATAAGTCGTTTGTAAGGTGCCGGTAATTGCTGTGATCTGTTCAGGGGGGTTTGTTCCAAGTTGGTATACCAACTTTCTAATGTAAGCCGTTGTCTATAGTCAGTACTGTAAGTGATGCATTTTGCCGAGTCCCAGTCAATGTTGTGCTTTGTGATTCGGTGATGTTCGGCAATGTGATTAGTTTTGTCTTGTTTCTTAGTAGCTCGTTTGTGCTCAGTAAGTCTTATGTTTAAGTTCTTGCCAGTTTCCCCGATATAGGAGGCGTGGCAGTCGGAGCAGTTTATTTTGTAAACTGCACCTTGTCGTTCGTTGGGTTGTTCTTTTTCCTTTATGTTCGTTAGTACTTGTCGTAACGTTGTGATTGGTTTATGTGCGACACGTATGTTGTATGGTCGTAAGATACGCGAGATAGTCTCAGACGTACCTTTGATGTAAGGTATCGTTGCTGTTGTAACTGAGTTGTTCGTTTCGTTGAGTTCGTTGGGTTTGTAAGTGTTGCGTTTGATAAAGTCAGAGTTATAGTTTTTTTTGTCAAAAACACGTTTGAGATAGTTGTTTTCGTTTTGTAGAGCGTCCGGTGAATCACATATGATTTATGCACGTCTTGTTAATGTTCTAATTGTGGTGGCTTT